TCCTGTGAAGACCATTAATATTAATGTCCACGTCTCCCCATCGCGTGCTTCAAGGCAGACACCTCGCAGGCCGGCCCCCGCAAGGTGGCCGAGATTAATCGGTGGTGATGCACGCTCGCTCGTTTGGGTTGCGCTGCACTCTGCGCTGCTGTGACAACATGATGGATGTCTCGCCACCGCTGCGAGACTCGAGTCGGTTTCTCTGTGCGAAATTGTGCAGTCGGAGGTTACGAGCTTTTATTGTTGCGTTTTAGAGTTATGGCGGTGGAGGAAGAGCAACAGGGGCGGGTGTGAGAGGACGTGATGGCCGGATACGATAATGTCACTACCCTGACGCCCCCGTTTGACCGCAGCTAGATTGATCGTGAATCGTCGTCATCATCGTCGGCCATGTTCCATCTACTGCTGAATGGAAGCCTTTGACAAGCCGCGGCCATCTCCCGCGACCTCGCGATGTAACAACACTCCAAATTGGGTGGTGCCAAAGGGACATTGGTGGTGAGGGGCTCGGATCAGCACGCGGCCTCCCTCCCCCCACCCTCCCCCCAAGCACCGGCTATGACTGTGGCCCTGAATCGTGAAACAATCATCTCACTGGGGTTGTGGTGGTGATTTGCTGTGCACGTGCACAGCCCTCTCTGTCGGTACGTTGCTGGATGAGGGCCCTACCCGCATCACGGTACGGGCCGTTGGGGATTGTTCGAACGAAATTCCCCTCCCCTTCCCCCTACTCCCCCCGCTGTGTGAAATTCTTTCATGGCCATTAAACACATCGAATTGTTAACGCAGGGGGTTCCTTCGGCTCATTGCGTTCTCGCGGAAACGATCGTGCGCAGTGTGCCAGGCAGGTTTTGTAAATGGACCGTCGCAGGCAGTGCAGGTTGTCCACCGTCGCACCGTCAACACCGGCTTAGCTGCCACTGTGCCGGGGAATGTACGATGCCTAGAAACCCAGCGCCCCCCTCGTCTTAAGACGAGAAACGCTGATGAACTGTCCTCTTCTCACCGGAAGCACTTCTTAATTGATCTATTTTTACCCGAATGCGCGAACTCGGAGCGATTGACGAGCGCGTCTTCCGCCCTTTACGTTTTTGCCGTCGGGGCGCGAGCAATCTCCGCTTGATTCAAGCGAGACGTTAAGTAAGCTGCTCGTTCCGCAGCCTGCGCCGTACGCGTGCGTGCGTGTACGTGTGCACGTTGAACTTGTTTCACGCTGTACATAGCCAACCGTGCTAATCGGAGGTGCGAAATCGAGGGCTGCGTGCCGGTGCAGCATCTTGATGGGTTTTTCGGGTCCTTTCTTTGTCGCCATCGGTGGGTTTCCTTGCCTGTGAATCTGCGCAGCGCCAGGAGACAACAGCTAGTGGTGAGGCCTGACGTCCACCCCACCGCCCTCACCAGCCAGGTGGTGCGCTATGTCCGCCCGTTCCGCTCCCTCCTCCTCCACGTGGGTTTGGCTACCCCTGGACCCCCGCCAACCGAGCGACGGGGGCCCCCCACGCTAGCGCCCTCTCTGAGGGACATCCTCGTGCTGCTGGCTTTGGAGCCACACGGAGTTATACCAAACGCCCGTGCACATCGCTAACACAGGGGGGCACGAACGTGCTCGTGCCTGCGGGCGATTACCTCTTAACGCGCGCACATGCTGTGGCTCCGCGTTCATCCTCGCCGCGCGTGTTCCCCCACGCAGTCGCTCCACACAGAAATCACAGACACCACGCCTATGCTCTGTGCGAACTTTTATTCTCGGCGCAACTACGCACTACCTGGGAGAATATTTCGAGAGAAGAGCCCAGCCTACTGCTGCCTCAGTCCCCAGTCACTCAAACGCCCAACCACGTACCTCGAAGCTGTACTCACGGCGTCACACGGACACTGTGAGAGGCAGAGGACAAAAAAAACCTTGCCTATCACTGCCTCGTAGCAGCATTCGCTGTCATCACACGGATGCTGCGAGTGGCTCGAGTAGGCAGGACGGAAGGGGGTGAGTCTTGGCAACCAAGATGTTGAAGACGAGTCCTTCTTGAACATCCTCAGGCTCCCCTTTTATCCCCATGACTTCAATAGCCTTGGGTCGTTTTGTCCCACGCAGCCAATTGTGCGCCTACCTGTGATTACAGCCGGTTTTTTTTTCCTTACATGGAGCGTTGCGGCGGGTGCTTCTGCAACCCATTATCTGTCTGTCCGTACTCCTTAATGTATTACTCACCCTTGTTAATCCGGAATGACCCCGGCTGGCGAATACACACCCTGCGAGTGTGTATTCAGTATTGGGGTCAGGGGAGGTCGTGCCGCTGCGATCCCCTGACCTCATGGTCTGCCCTTCTCGCTTAATATTCTACCCCAGCCCCTCCCGATGTCGTGAATGACTCAATGCGGCTGGCCCGGTGAACCTTTTTGCGCCCATACAATATTAAGCCAACTCAGGGACACCGCAATGTAACCTGTCCTGTGAGGGTCGGTCAATCTCCCGGCACCGGGAAACCGTGGAACTTTCCTCCTAGGGACCCTTTGGATTAAAACCCCGTTGTGCCAGGCGATCCCCCGTCAGGACACTGCGTGTGTGCGCTGCGGGTGTGTGCTCAGTGTGGGGGCCAGGAGGGGGAGGTGGGGTCGCAGCGCTTCTGCTGCAATATCTGCCCCTGTGTTTTCAGCCCTCCATTTTTTGTCAGCAGCAGCAGCAGCGTTAGTGTCATCAACGGCCGTTGTTAATCCGCTACTAGGTGAAGGGGTTGCGTGCGTCGTCGCCGCTTAATTGTGGATGCGCGACGCCATGATCAGTTTGCTCGTGCTCACGAGCTGATGCCATCGCTGAGTGAGGACGACGCCATTTTGTCACTTGTCTTATTCAATTGGCCATCATCGCTTTTAGCCGTGTCTCCTGCCACAGTCCACTCCTCCTAACAGACAATACGATCCATGAGACAGATTTTTTTTTGTGGTCAGATCGCGTAAATATATAAATGTGTCGTTTAACCCGCCACCACCCAACACAGCCAACTAGTAAGGGTTGTCACGTAAACAGAACGTGGCCAATTCGTCACTAGTACAGCACTAGTGTGTAGTGTATAGTGTAGTGTATAGTAGTGTATAGTGTAGTGTATAGTGTAGTGTATAGTGTAGTATACTAGTACAGCACTAGTGTATAGTAGTGTAGTGTATAGTGTAGTGTATAGTGTAGTGTATAGTAGTGTAGTGTATAGTATAGTGTATAGTGTAGTGTATAGTGTAGTATACTAGTACAGCACTAGTGTATAGTAGTGTAGTGTATAGTGTAGTGTATAGTGTAGTGTACTAGTACAGCACACCGGTGTGTTGGAGAGCCAAGCCACATCAATTACAATCTGAGTACGACGTTTCACCAGTAATTACAACTAGCTTCATCAGGCGACAGCCAAATCTGTGTGCTGTATCACCAACGAATTGGCACGTTCTGTTTACGTGACAACCCTTACTAGTTGGCTGTGTCGGGTGGTGGCGGGTTTAACGCCACATTTATATATTTATGCGATCTAACCCAAAAAACCTTGTATTCTGGATGATATTGGTCACGAAAGCCTACATGTTAAACAGACAATATGTCTTGATTGAATCTTTCTTGATTGCAGGAATCCATACTCTTTGGTTCTTTCGGTAAAGTCACGTGACTTTACCGAAAGTCACGTGACTTTACCGTAAGTCCCAAAGAGTAGAGACAATATGTCTCTGAAATAAATTAGAAATTTCTCATTAATTCATAGGTTCTTCTTTATGTTTCTCTGCCATTTCTAAAAGTTCCCATCTCCGCATTTTGCATTTCCGTTGTTATGCTTTCACATATGACACCATATCAGCTATATGCACAGTTACCCGACAAACCCACTGGCGGTGCTAACCCATTGGGGGAGCTAAGCACTCATTATTTTTTATACGTGTTAAGTAACCATAAACATTCTACGCGAGGCAAACAGCGTAACTTAATTACATTTGAATTATTATTTAATGGGATACATTAATTCTAATTACTTTACACGTGGTAATGGAATTAGAGCTTTTAAAATTTTATTTAGATCTTTGGTTCTCCCGTTTTTTCAAATCTTCAATCCAAGCCCCCCTTGAGCTAGTTGGGGCCCTGTGCTTGTGCTTAGTTTGCCTCATGCCATCACCATATGTTCCGGTATAACTACCTTAAGTGAGTACTTGCATCATGATGTGTTTCATACGGCTGTCTCGTAAGTTCCTGCACGCTTGCGAGTGGTCTCCGTTCAATGCCAGACTTGCTGCCCACGTACCTCGCAAGCTCCCGTCGCGAAAACGAAAGCTTCATCTCCCAAGCTTTGCAATCCTCGGCATGACATGAAGCTCACCGCTGATCTGGCTCTCAGTTGGAGGATCGGTCGAGGATGAAAGCAGAGAAACACTGCACTCGACCAAGTGCTCCGCCAATGCACCTGCTCCAGTAATCCGAAGATTGTGCGGGTTTTTTTGTATTGCCCATCCTGTGCTATGGGGCAGGAAGAATTTCAAGAAAGTCAGGGTACAAGCATGTGTGAGCTGAGTTTATCCCTGTCATCTCTCCATCTCGGTGGTGAGATATTAACTACCTCATCTGGTATGTAGGAGGGCATGGGTTCGATCCCGACCCTGATGCCTGTATATATGGAGTTTGCATGTGCTCCCCGTGGTGGTGTGGATTTTTCTCCGGGTCCTCCGGTTTTTCCCTCCACATTTAGAATCGATGTGCGTTTACGGTATTTGGCTGCTATAAATGTCCACATGATAAGCCACTTCAATGCATCAGGTGACTTCTGACAAAGTGCTATATAGCTGTGGGCCTTTCCTGCTCAAATTAAAAGTGACGAATAGCTTAATGCCTGGGCCCCTCTTCAATTGCCTCCGTTTATTCCCACCCCCCCCCCCCCCCCCAATTAACCGCTCCATGCTGCACTCCAGTCTCACTCTCTTCCCACCCTCCCTGTTTCCCATGCCTCCCTCCTCGTTGTCGCTTGCCATGCCACCAGAAGTGATCGGGGTTGCGGAGCTCTGCAACAAGATCAACGGGCCGTGGTTCTCCAAGTTTGACGAGGACCTGGCAACGGCTTTCTCCATCTACTGCGGCATCAGCATCGCCAACGTGAGTGCGCAAAGAAGCCATCGCGAGATGCACGTTTCCTTCCGTCAGCTACCACCTGCGATACGTGCGCAAAACTTGAACCGCGAAACAGGTGCAGCCCTGCAATTTCCTGCTCCATGTCACTGTGTTGGCGGAGGGGAGCCTTCGCTCGAAAGAGCTGTTGTTGTGTGCTGTTGAAGACCCCTGGAAGCTTTCAAAAACATTTTGGCATTCACTTTAGCTTTAAAAAATTTCAGTGAAGGTTTTAGGCTTTGAGAAGTTCAGATGTGACCAGGAATCAAACTCTGCTCGCCGAGCTGCACCACGATGTCGATTCTTAAGTGCATCGATGCAGGCATCAATTCACACGTGAAAGAATGAGTTGTGTTCAACTCACGCATGTTCCACGTAAGGAGTTAAAAACGACCACCCCCCCCCCTCCTCCCCACAGCCACTGGTGGCCGCTACATTTACCACAATGAGAAAATAATTTGTCTAATTTTGAATAACTGCGCAACCCTTAATTTCTGGCAAATTCCCCAAATCGCTGGGAGAGTGAATCGTTTTGCCTCAACAGTAGACTTTGCATTTATTTATTCACTTCGAACAAGAAGAGGCATTTGGTCAGAGCCAGAGGAAGAGTCTCTCATTTTCTGTTCCTACACCAATCGCTGTGGCACACACCGCTGCTCGCCCCGGAGGGAGCAACAGTGTGCATACTCCATACCGGCGTCGCGAGATGATAGATTCTAGAAGGAAAGTGTAATTTAAAAAGGGGGCGTTTTTTTTGGTGCTTATCGCTCTCAGCTGCTGCCACTGCTCGGCTCTCGCTATGAACCCATGTCTGAATCGACTCCCACTGGTGGAACGGACCCCCTCCGGGCTAGGAGACAATCACAAGACGCGCAGTGGGCCCCGTTCGCGGGGTTGGATTTGAGTTGGACTCCTACAGCCGAAAGGCCCCGAATGTGCACGAGGAGCCCTTCCGTTTCGGTGTCGCAAACAAATGACGATCGTGAACAAAAGGGGCGGATGCTGCCCCGTCGTAGCGGTTGGCGGCGCACCGACCTTACCATCGAGAGGTCGCGTGGCAGAGCCGTCCCCGAGGGTACGACCGCCGCGGGGCCCCGCGCTTTGGGGGGCGGATGTAATACTTCTGGATTAGTTTGATGGTGTCGGTGGGACCCACAGTCGGGAGGGGGGGGGATTTGGCCTGAGCCACGACACCCCCTTATGGACGGTCCTGATCGCCGGTTCGATTCGACCTCGCGCGTCGCGGAAGTTTCAATGATGTGAGCAAGTCTCTTGAATCCCACCCACGCAGCAGTGTGAATGGGTTTATCACAGCTGGTCAAGCTGGTTTGCGTACACTGTGGGGTAAAGTGTGGGTACTCCCCCCACCTCTCTCCGAGACGTCTGGCTAGCGTGGAAGAGGAGGGCAAATGCCCTCTGAGAGGGGTTTTTGAGGGCCCCTCTTCTTCGTTGGAGTCCAGCAGTGAGAGGGCAAATGATTGTCTCGTTAGTAACATAAACCATTAATAGTATTTCAATAATACAATGGGAACGCACTTGAATTAAACTCTGCTGTCTCTCCACAACCTCATATGTAACGTACTTCCATATAAACCTGCGATTGTTGCAAAAATACATGTGATGAAAGGATATAAATTGCGTGTCACACCACTGCCCTCAAAGAACCAGGCTATAGTCTACATCATAGACTGCCAGTACACTCACCCAGCTTAATAACCATTGCTACAGTCTACATTATAGACTACCAGTACACACACCAAACTTAAGAACCAGGCTATAGTCTACATTAGTGTTTTTTTTATTTTCCTTATGTTTTATTCACTTTCTTTTTTATTCAAAATGTTCTATCTACGTGACTTTACCGAAAGAAATATGAGCTAACCATTTCAATGTTTTAAACACTGCACATTACAGTCTAATGGGATTTTTTTTGATAAATTTGCAGACGCCGGACCAAACAAAACTCCCATTTTTCACACCCCTCCCCCCCCCCCATTATCGTTCCTGCAGTGCGATTACATCAGCATTTTTCGAGTCTCCGTAGGATCCTGATGATGGCTTTGAAATGTCGTGGGCGCATGGGCCCTCAGCCGGCTCGGAGCTCTTAGTGGCCGATGGCGCGCTCAGCGGCTCAGATTTTTTTTTTTACCGCGATGATGTATGGAAGTTTTTTTTTTGTGTAAAGGCGGGTGGATGCATTGGCACCGTCGTGAAGAGGGGTGATCGGTGCCACGATTGTTCATTGTCAAATTGTGCACGTTTTATTTACGGCGTTGACACATCATGTGCTTTTTGTTGATGTTTTATATTTATTTACGCGAGCCGTGTTGGCAATAAATCAAGCTGGCCCACACTTGCTTGTATAAAAACATTACACACCACCGAGCAAACACAGGCATCGATGGATATCCCATATCCTGTTACACTCTGCGGAATCTTTTTTTTGTTGTACAATACAGATGAGACATTATTAATCTATGAAATATCACATTTTCCCCCATTCGATATTTTAATGCAGAAATATCATAAATTGCTACAAAAAGTCAGGCTTCTGAAATATGTTGACATTGCAAATGACTCTTGAGTTTGTCTCACGATTACAGAGGCCTATGGGTTTTCATTTTATATTTTACACGGTCTCGCGTGTTTCAGCTGATTAACTCCATGTTGCAATTTTTACATTCGTACTTCTGTAATTTGAAAACATTTCCAATTAAGAAACAATTATTCTTTTCCGTTCTGAACGTGGATGTAACCCCGTATTGCGTTACCAATCACTTCACATTCATGCCGCGCACGTAATCTGCCACTAATTCACCAGAAAATCCAACGGTACTGCCGACACGCGCATTCTTATTCGGTCACGTTCTCATTTTCAATACACCGACGTAAACATGGCAGCTCTTGCCACTTATTTGGCCGAGCCGGCCACGAGAAAGGATTGATTGAAGCAAGACCACCAAATGTTTTTTTATGTTCTTTTAAATGACTTCTTTCCCCCGCTGTGCGCTAACACACACGCGTAATGCGGCGGTTAATAAAGCAGCATTCAAGTGCTCCGGAAGTGGGTCGTATTACGCAGCTGCAATAATAATCATAAATATTCAGGGGGGGGGTTTGCACCAATAATAATATTGCATGTCTCCCCGAAAGCACTTTGGGGCTGACACAAACACGGGAGGTTTGCTTGAGTGTCGCCCGCCGGACTTTTGGGTATTTTGAGAATTTCGGCGGTTTCACAAAGCCCGTGCGTCAGGACTGAAATGTATCTTGGCAAAGCGAGATCGCCCGTAACGAGGTTGCCCTGACCGTCACACGAGACCTCTTGTGGAGTTGCCCAGTTTTCTGGGTTCTCACCACCGTCTCTCACTCTTCCCCCCACCCCCCCTTTATCCATCCCACTCTCTCTATCTCTCTCTGTCCCCAGTCACTGCTGTACAAGAAGGTGGCAGAGGCACAGCAGCGGAGCCAGCTCTCCAATGAGATGATGATGTACCACATGAAGGTAGGTGTGCTGCTACATCGAAGGGGTCCTGAGAACACAACGCGTGGCTCGCTCGCGCTCCGCAAGCCGTCACGCGCGATGATGCGTAGCTTATGAAACAGGTCTACTGAATAGGCTCCATATGCTCCAAATACAAAGATGTACCCTATATCCTTAACACACCGTTGGGGCAAGTGCTTTTAGAGAGCACTTACGAAGGCCGGCATGGAAACACGAGGGGTTGGGTGGCCAGCATCATGCCCATGTTTACACATTGCATCAGGCTACTCATTTGAAGCCGAGTCAAACTAGGAGATGCCCCGGACCGGTTCAGCTAATCACGTCACTGGATGTTGGCCGTGAGCGGGAATCTAAATCGGGATTCCGAGTTCGTAGCGCAGCGCCCTAACTGTTGCACCACCGCTCCCCACATGCTCCATAATTCTACGTCACATACACATTCGTAGAATTATAAATTATAATCATAATTAAATAATTATAATACACTCTATATTACAATGACATATACACTGCAAATCTGTGAATTGAAATAATACTACAATAAGCTCCATTCTATGATAAAGTGTATGCTGTAAAAACAATTATAAAATCATAACCTCCATAAATGCAATAACATATGTTTTACTTGTGTTTAATTATAAATCTATGATAACAAACTCGTGACCTTCATAATACGATAACAGAAACACGCTGTGCTTATGTAAAATAATAATAATAAAATAATCTCCTGAATTATAATATGTACACTGTACTTCTACAGAATATAATAGCCTACGCTGATTCCAATTAACATAGCCATTGATCATCGCTTACATCGTGAAGACATATTAATATTCCCACTGGGGTAACAAAGCAATATCAGGACCTATTCACTACCCAAGCGCTCATATCAACAATTCATATGCGTGTATGTGTGTCTTTGTTAGTGTAGACACGTATGGCTGTACACAACATAAAATGATAATATCCTTTATCATGAAACAACATGTACACTATACGGTACGTATGTAGACTATGACAATAATAATTGGTAACTATTCACATGGCAATTTGAAACTGATAATCGGAATTTTTTTACTCATTTAATTCTTATCAGTCTCCAACTCGTATTCAACGTATCTCTCTGACCTCTGTGTGCTATGGGGAAGAAGCCATTGCCTGAAACGTCACCTTTTAGAGTTGTTTTTTTTCCATTTAAGGCCACTGTTATTGATGAACGTGTTAGGGTTTTTTTTTCCTTTTTGTGGTGCAGCTATAAGCTGCCCATGTTTGGAGCCACTGTCATCGTCGACACATATTTGTATAATTTGTCGCGCATTTAGTGACTCCGCATAAGCCGGCAACCCACTCAGGGCGGTGTAGAACTATACGCTTGCACCGCATGGGATTTCGAGAGAAACGCCAATGCGTCGGACGACAAATCTCAAGAATGTTCATCTAGGCAGATGTAGCATGCGTTCGATTGATGGACGGAATGAAATGACGGCACCATCACGAGGTTGCGTCTTTGCACACCGCTGGCTGAGCGGCGTTTGCATTAAGGGCGGCAAGAATGTGTAGATTAGTGACACACGCGTCCAGCCCCGGTGTAATTCCCCTGCGAGAGGAAGGCCCTCTCCCCACGTCGCGTGGGTTGACACATTCCACCATTCTGGCCAGTGCAGCGCAACGGTTATTGCTGCACCGCCCTCGGCTGACGACCGTGGCGCCGCGACAGCCGACGACACGTGTTGTTTTGGTCACATTTCTCATCGATCCAATCGGTGTCCAGGCTTAAAACGCTGCTGAGCTTCTGAGCGCTCACGAGATGGAGCGCATAGCGGGTGATTTTTAAATCCTTTATATTAAGTTCGCTTGCTTGCTTGCGTGCTTGCGTGCTTGCTTGCTTGCTTACGACCGTGCAAATCTTTCGGTCGTTTTTTAACCCACTTCCCGTGATCCAATCGAGCTGACATTTTGCATACAGACTCGTTGTGCGAGACAATTAATGTTCGTGAAATTTTTTTCTCCAAAATTTTACACTGTTTACGGAAAACAAATTAAATATTTAATTACCAATTGCTTAATACTGGCAGACAATCATCTGACCCATAGGTGGCAGCCATCTCAAGCCAGAGGACGAGAGGACTCTAGCCGTCACGCATATAAAGGATTTATAGTGAAAAACTTTGTTTTTACGGGTTATACTTGTTAGGCGATTTGGTCACAGGGACAGCAATTCTTGCATCGATTCGTTGATTTAAAAAAAATTCGATTATCATGCCCGTCATACACCCATCAAACCGTGGTGTAAGCATGACTTGTTGTAATGGTTTTACATTATGCAAATGATACGCTAATTATATATGTTTATGCTAACCGAGCACTCAAATCTATGCAAATGAGAAACAATGCAAAGGAAAAAGTAAAATGAGGATGGGAAAAAAAAACTAAAAACTAATTAATCAATCAACACCCACGGTTGTGACAATTCATCAAATAACCCGGCAGGCAAGTCGTTGCATGCCTTGTACACACACAGACGCGCACGTGTTGGCGTGAGCGGTTGATGTGTGTGCACCCACGCAGCCTATAAGCCAGGGGTCGGGAACCTTTTTGACTGGGAGAGCCATAAAAGCCAAATATTTCTAAATATATTTCATTGACAGCCATATAGTATTTTTAACGTATAATAAATTAAATGTCTTACTTTTAATGCGACTTCTGGTCACGGGACCCGTGACCCGAGAAATGTTATCTTCAAAACTAATTTCTGTTTACTTTAAAATGACACAGTATTATTAAGCAATATCACAAGTATTTTAAAATCAGTTCCAAACTGATTTTTTTTTTCAACTCAAAATTGTCTGGGAGCCATATGCCGTCACCGGAAAAGCCATATATGGCTCGCGAGCCATAGGTTCCCGACCGCTGCTATAAGCTGGAGCTCAGCTGTATGAACCCTCATCGCCTACATTATCTCGGCAGTTCAACATACCTTGGCGCCAATACGCCTGGGTCATCATTGTCGTCGTCTAACGAAAGGGTTTTTTATTCGCATTCAAGCGGAACAAAAATGGGAATTGGGGCTTACGCTGATGAAAAAAAAAGTAAGGAGAGGCTGCAGCCTTTTCTAATAATAACAATAAAACAGGTGTTAAGATGTTCAAACACCAAGTAGGTACCATTGGAACCTCCTTTGCCAGTAGCAAAATATGATAATTGTTTTTTTACCCTTTTATCTGGCAACAAAACTGACACCTTTTTTTGCGCCTTTTGGCTTCATCTGGTCCAACACCATGGGCTCTAAGAAAAGCTGTCTCGGGTGTGGCTCAATCAATTTCAAGGACAGTGCATACATTATCAGAGCTGTGTTTTTTGTTTGCATTCCGACCGCAGGTATTGTGGTCAATGCAAACATGACTCTTGTAAAAAAGATGTCAGTTTTGTTCCCAATTACCAAGTAGGTAACCTATTGCAAGGCAACAAATCTGCATTAAACATACATACTTGTGGCAAAAAAACATGTACGCAAGCATGCTCTGATAATATAGACATTGTCTTCAAAACTGATTGGCCTACACCAAAGACAGCCTTTTTCATGGCCTTGTCTCTGCACCGGTGCTAGACCAGAGAACGCCAAAAGGCGAACAGTCCGAAGGCAATGCAAGCATCAAAGTGTGAATAGCTCGGGTTGAGCAGGCGCAGATCTATGGGACCTTTTTTGGTGGTATCAAAATGATGGACAAAAACCCAATAATAGATTATTATTTTAATCCTAGGAACTTATCCTCATACTCTTAGGTTTTTTCGGCAAAGTCACGTAGGTAAAAAATAATAATAATAGAAATAATAAGAGAAATAAAATGATGAATCACGACGTTTCGGAGGCAACACAAGTCTCCGTCATCAGGTGGGACCGTCACAGCTAGATTTACTGTAACCAGTGAGGCAAATCTACAGTAAATTTACAGTAAATCTGGCTGTGACGGTCCCACCTGATGACGGAGACTTTTGTGTTGCCTCCGAAACGTCGTGATTTAGAATTTTTATTTCTATTATTATTTCTATTATTTCTATTATTTTTATTATTTATTTTTCACCTACGTGACTTTACCGAAAAAACCTAAGAGTATGAATCCTTGCAGTCACGAAAACTTCAAATCTAGAACTTATTCTCCTCTCTAAACGACGGCGCACTCAAGCACAATGCCCTCCACGCAGAGCCAAGAGTAGAGCTTGGCCATTGATTTGGTAGAAACTGCTTGGGGGGGGGGTGGTGCGGGGTGGGGGGTGGCGAGTGATAACTTTTTCCACCAGCTCAATGTGACACCACATTCAATGCCCCACGAGAGATTGTATGGATTTTAATTTCGCGGCGATGTTTATATATCCATGGAACACGACCCGATTGAAGGGAGGGCTGGGTTAGAGTCAGACTGCTCCAAGCTCCGCAACTTGTTTCTGCCGTTTTCGCACCGCAAGCTGAATTGAGTTAAAATAACTCGACCATGCCAATCACTCGCAGACAGATTCTTTTTTATTCCCGGATATATTTTTTAAAAATAAATGAACAACAAATTATCTCGTATGTCCGGATAGTCTTACGGTGCATTATTTGACCATACTGCACCACGCTAGGCAGTGCGGGTTGGTGAATGGCGCCAATACTACCGGTTGAGATATCGCTCACCACCGATACTTGCCATGGCTGCCGATCGAACTCGTGCCGTCGGGTTCACAGCCCAGCAACCTAACCCACCGCAACACCGCTCCAACCGTCAATTTAAAAATAATAATAATTCCTCACTCGGGGAAATGCATGTTTTGTACCTTTTGACAACGTTCAGAGAGTTGTCTGCGATGCCCGTAACGTATAATTCCATTTCGAATGGCTAAACGTGTGACAATGACCGCTCACACTTTCATTTGCCGCCTCAATTGAGCGATCGCCTCGCGCGATGCGGTCATATCATTTCCAGTGATAAACAACTCATTCCACGGTCCGTATGATTGCACAACAATCGATATCTCATTGCAGCTGCTGGATTGCCAGCTCAGCATATTAAGCACGAAGCTATCTATACATACAGCATGTATGTATAGGATATGTTGAACTTCTTTCGCACTCTATGCAGCCAACCGTGCTAATCGGAGGTGCTGTGGAGGGACAGCAAACAGCGTATGAGCTGAAGTGATCTTCTGGACATGCCCAACATCAGAGAGAGTTCAAGTCGTGATAGTAATAATTTCCGTGCGTTTGTCCATCCCAAACATTGGGATGTTTGTCCACTTCCATTTACGAGTGTGTGACATGTGGGAGGAACCTCAAAGGTCTGCACAGACGGATTCAAGAATCCAAATCTCTACATGAACCACTCAACGTTTCCTCGCATAAGTGCTGGATTAAAATAATGGGGCGATGTGCCTTGCTCAGCCAGATTTTTGTCCCATTTAGGTCGACTCGGCATGAATTATTTACACAGACGGTAAAAAAAACAAGCAAATAGAATATACACACAATAAGTGATCGCACCCAAGATAACGTCCACCATAGAAATGGAGTGATAACATCGATTCGGATAGATTGTTGCATTGGCGCAACAGCTTTTGGAGGCCTTAATCCAGCAGTGGATGGAGCGAGGCCGCTGATGCTTTCGGTGATTATGACGGCAATGATGAAATACATGCCGGGCCTTTTATTTACCCCCCAAAAAAAATGTAACAAAGCAGAGCTTGGATTGCCCTTGACGGATTGCATCAGCAATGGACGTGCGGCAACTGCTGACGTGGGTTTCCGCTGTGGCCTGTGGGATTGGAGGCAATGTTTATGGACAAAATTAGCCGGAGCCCAGGTGATAACGGCACTTACACCCACACAGAGAAGGACCTTGTTCATGGGTAATGCGCTTCCCCATTGTTGAGCCAAGGCCAATTGTTGCGCTCTACGTGAAAGGATGATGAGGTAAGTGGAGCAGAATTGTGTGGATCGGGGGGGGGGGGGGAGGTTTGCGTGGCTTAAAACATCCACGTGGATAAGGGGATCTCGTCCGGAATAAATTAAATTACAGCTCTTCAATCTGTTTGCCCCTGTAGAAGCCACTGAGGGCCGAAAATCAAAAGAATTATGAAGAGAATGATGTGTAACTTGATTGAATTATACGACTCGATTGACAGCATAATTGTGTGTATCAGCGAGAGTCTGAATAGGCGTGCGTGCATGGTTAGTATGGGCAGGAGCGGTTCGTACAGTGGGGTTAGCATGCTGCCCACATGAACCTGGAAGCCCCCGAGTTCGATTCCCCCACCACAGATGAAATCAGTCGTGAGTGATAATATGAGCTGATCATGACCTCATCCTCATTCACCAACCCAAATGATAAAACACGATGTGGGGAAGCCTTCATCCATTGGTGGATTGACAATGGTCCAAATTAATTTTACGGGTTTAATGTTTCCATTTACTGCATGTCCATCTTCTAAAATTACCCCAGTACGAATGCCAACGTTGGGACAACGTTGGCATTCGGTTGCGACCGTTTGATCGCCGTTGACTCCCAACGCTCCGTGTTTTGTGGGACTGTATTCACTGACAGACTCCTTGAGTAGGCGTCCTCACGGTTTTGCCTCCATTGCGACTCAGTGACGTGTTATGATTGGAAGTTGTAAAAGGCTATTCGAGAGTCAATTATTTGATTCGCCTTGTTGTGATTGTAGCGGTCTCTCGTGGCAGCACGGTGCTCATGGGAAGACCATTGCACGCAATAAACATTAATTGAAAATACCCTACAATTATCGACTCTTGCGTGCACGATCTGATGCATGCATATGGGTATAACAATGGATTGTAATCGATTAATTTAAAAAAGGCTATACCCCTGCTATTCGAAGATAAGTCATTTTCCTCAGAAGATTAATCTTAAAAAGGAAAAAAAAATGTTTTCTACTTTATTATTTCTTTTATGCGGACGCTTGATACACAAATGGAAAACTCTGCAGTCGTGGTGCGACTGTGGTCATTAATTCTAGATTTGAAGCTTTCGTAACTGCAAGGATTCATGCTCTTAGTTTTTCAGTAAAGTCACGTAGGTAAAAAATGAAATTAAAATTAATGTAAATAAAATAATAAAAATCACGACACAAGTCTCCGTCATCAGGTGGGACCGTCACAGCCAGATTTGCTGTATTGACTGTGGTCATCTAGAACAGAGACCGTGCAATGTGTAACGATGCAATGCCCCGATCCACCAATACGAAGGAGACGTCACAGCGATAACCTCCGCTGCTCCTGACACGGCTATCTTGCTTGACCACCTGAACGTGCATTTTTAACTGTTGCTCTGCATCGGCATCAGCAGCCATACGAAAGAAGAAGATATTTTATTCACATTATTTACTCCTCACCTTTCTTATGCTATTCGTTGCGCGCAGTTGCAACTTACGCAGTTGGTGTTCGTGGCTGTGGGCATGATGGGCCTCTTTTTAAATCCTTTATATTAAGTTCACTTGCTTGCTGGCTTGCGCGCTTACGACCGTGCAAATCTTTCGGTCGTTTTTTAACCCACTTCCCGTGATCCAATCGAACTGACATTTTGCATACAGACTCGTTGAGCGTGACAATTTATTTTCGTGAACAAAATTCAAAAATTTTCCACTTTTTAGGAATTTTTTTTTTCATATTTAATTTAAAATACCAATGTGATAAAAATGAAACTCTTAGTCAAGAAAAACAGAAATGAATAATAAAATAAAACCGATGCCACGCATATAAAGGATTTATAGTGACAAACTTTGTTTTTACGGGTTACTTTTTTTCATTTCTGTTGTTCCGTGCCCCACCTGTACCGTTCCCGTGCTGCTGTAATGTGCACCGATGCCTGCTTGAGGGCGATTTTGTCACGTAGGATAAAGATTGATGGATTATAATCGATTCAACAGTTTGGCCCGAGTGCCTTTTAATTCTAGATTTGAAGCTTTCGTGACTGCAAGGATTCATATTCTTAGGTTTTTTCGGTAAAGTCACGTAGGTAAAAAATTAAAATTAATATAATTAGCCGCATCATCTCTACATAACAAAAAGGCTCAGTCCCTTTTACATGCACCTTTACATCATCCGCACCTAGTTTACACAACAAAGGCTCTTTCCTAACAGCGTGCTTCAGCCGCACCGAACCTCCCACCCTCAACCAGTATATATAAAAATACGGTTTTCTTGGAATTTCTCTCACTTGATACAGCTATCATGCTGTGACTGTTCCACCTGAAGACGGGGACTTGTGTTGCCTCCGAAACGTCGTGATTTTTATTTTATTTTTTATTTTACTTTTATAAATTAAAATTTTTTACCTACGTGACTTTACCGAAAAAAGCTAATAATATGCCTTATAACTTCTACATCTGCCACGAACCCAGGTGTCGCCAGAGGAGATGAACAAGGTGCTCAACTCCAGGATCCAGATGGTGACGGACATCCACCCAGACTTTGCCAAGTTCACCTACACTCCACGCTCCCTGGGCGAGGACCAGACCATTACGGTAAACTACGCGGGCCACCCTGGCGCGAGGCTGGCGGGTATACCGGTCGACAACGATACGGCCGTTCCTCCTCCTCCTCCTTGTTCCTTCTCCTCGTGCTCAGTCGACGCGTTTGCTCCTTTTTCTCTTCTCAACCCCCTTCTTCACCGGAATGAACGTCCCCCTCCACATTAAACGGTCACCGTCGCTCATCCCTTTCCGTTCTGCTCTCAAAACTCACTCGCATGTTCACCTCAATCTCCACCTCATATCTGCCGCCTTGACTTTTCGCTCTTCATATTGTTATTGTATGACCCTCACTCATTCCCCATTCATTCAATGCATTCGTCATCATTTACTGTCGTCATTTTCGCTTTCACCGAATTTATGCATCACAGATTTTCCCATTACTTCCTGTCACCTGTTTCATTCACCTCATCTCCGCCATCACACGCATGTGTACTGTTGTTAATTCTGCGTAAAGCGCCTTGGCGCTATATACATTATTTGAAGATAAGATAAGAACCGTGCGTGGTAGCCGCGTGACTCCTGCCAACGGCGATGCCGCTGTCAGGGTGGCGTGGGGCGATCGGCTTGGGTCCTGAAGCAGGGGGGGTCAGGCAACCTGCGGCTCCGGCGCCGTGGCAAGCGGCCCTCTCAGCGGCTGCTTCGTTACGTCATTCATCAAGGACCACCACCGTTCTCGTATTCGTCCACAGTGCATTGCGGCGGCTCTTGAAAATTAAATTTTTGGTACCGAATGTGAAACAGAAATAGCTCTTGTTATTTTGGTTGCCCGACCCCTGCCCTGGAGCAAGGACTGAAATTGCCCCCCACCCAGCCCCCCCCCCCAGCCCCCCCCCAGCCCCCCCCCCCAGCCCCGTGCTTGCGCACCAACCCGGCCCATGGGGCTCGGTGAAGTTGCAATGCCCGCACACCAGAGAGCCACGGCAGTGTACTGAGCCAGCACTGCCGAGGTCCTGGGTTCGAAATCGAGTTTCAGCCTCTTCCTCTCTCTCTCTCTCTCCAACCCTTCAAACTTTGCTTCATAACTTGCTCTTATTCTCAATAATAATCGCCTCTTTTCGGAGTGTAAATTACAATACATCTCCGGATCCTTCCGTGCCAGGTCAAAGTCTTAAGTTCCACAAAACTTCTGCCAGTCCAATCCTCCAGGGTCATCAATGCATTTCCTTTTCTGTATCTACGGATGTATATTGAACTTCTTTTGCACCGTACGTGCCTTCCTAGACCTATTTTCACTTCTAGAATTATTGTTGATTAAAGAGCACCATTTCCTGATGATCTCATCATATGAACCGGCTTCTGAAATTGTGAGATTACGGTGTCAACCTAGTCACCAGAAACTGCACACACACACCAAATATACATTAATATTAGGTGTTTTTCTTAATTCAGGAAATTACACCTCCTGAGAATGAAAATATTGGTTTGAGTGGCATGTTGTAAACACTCTGCAGGGAATATGAAATATCTGTCCCTGGTGTGTATAGCGGCCTATTGCCTTAACTTCCAATGTATTTCTATGACATCGTCTTCCAATGCTATTCTCTGACAGCATGGGGCACTGCTGCGTACCATGAATCAGAATGTAACTTTCTTCACCTCGTGACATTAAGTTTCAAATTTAACTCGGTGACAATTCAAGAGACAAGGATGAGTCGCGTTTAGTCTGCCAGGGGGTGATGATTCATGCGTACAATCCTAATCGAGTAATTTGTGGTGAAACGTAATTTGCAATATTTTGACGCTGACATGCCAACGATAGCACAATGGAAATATAAATGGATATTCCTCGAGACATTCCATTGTATACTATGGTATCGGCTCTCTTGCAGAACAAAAAAATACATTTTCATGACTCGCCACTGTATGATTATTTAATCTTTTCTGAACCATGCGCCACGCCAGTTGAGAGGTGGGGGGGGGGGGGTGGCGGTTGGGGGGGGGGGGCAGGCCGAGGGGTTCCGCGTGGAGCTTTGTGAAGTTCAGAGCGGAGTGCATGAGGTTGCGGTGACCAGTCGCTTCGAGGGAATGCGCTCCGGCTGAACTTTGAGTGTTAGGAGCATTGCCAGTTTGGCGGCCAAACGCCAGCAGCAAGCGAAAAGTTTCAAACCATGGACTTGAAAAGCCTGAAGCTATGTAATGTTATTTTCATCTTTTCATTAATTATGCAAGGTCTCCTTTGCAAAAAGAGATCATGATATCTCAATATGGTCCTTCATGCTCATTAGTAAAAGATGTACGAGGGTGTTTCAGTAAGCCAAGATACTTTTAATAATTTAGTCATCTAAGTGGAATTTTGGTTAAAAATTGCATGGTGAGTAGAGAATGACTTTAAGAATCGTGAAAACATTACAAGAAGATTTTCCACGTGACTATCAGAGTTGTCACCACATTGTGGCCTCATTCTTCAACTTAATTTCAACCTCAGTGGCAAACAAAAAAAAGTGCTCCGCTCTTCTTATTTGCTGCTCTGCAAGGGCACTCGTATCTTTAATCGCACGGTGGGTCTGCCATCAAATGGAAACATCTGCATTTGGGTGTCGGGGTCATTGCCCCGTTAACTATGCAGTTTTTTATTTACTTCCTGAAACTCTCTTGTATGTTTGTATTTTCAATTTGTGGTCAGCGTCTACCACATCTCCCGGCAGTGTCCTGGACTCTGTGCTCACACAACTGTTTGACACTTGTATTAGAGTGAACATGGCCCTCTGTTTTTTTTTGAGCGATTTCTCCTCTCATGTCCACACACCCCATTCTGGCACAACACCGCTCGACTTTTATCCCTGGATTCCAATCACGCGGTTGCTGGCTTAGGGTTGGTCGGCACCGCTCAGATGCATCTCAAGGCCCGCTGCCTTCACGCGTCCGCCAGTCGGTCCTGGCTTTGGTGTTGGCATGGAGTGCCGGTAAACGCACGCCACAAAGAGCTGTAGCTGGCCCTCACTTCCTCCCCCCGCCCACTCCTCCCCTGCAACAGCTTAGCTCGTTGGGCACGTTTTTCTTTTACAAAAAAATAAACTAAAACTAAAAAAATATGTTTTATTGCAACCAAGTAAGGCCCCACTGAGCTGTCTAGCTCTTTTTACAGAAGCGACCTGGCTATTACAAAGCATAGCTTATCACGTGGACATTTCTGGCAGCCAAATAGTCTAAACACGTCATATTGATTCTTCATGTGGAGGACAAAACCGTAGGACCTGGAGAAAAATCCACGCAACCAAAGGGAGAGAGACACGCAAACTCCGCATATTCAATAGCCGTAAGGGTCAGGATCGAACCCACGACCTCCTGCATATCAGGCGAGGTAGTTAACCTCACACCACCGCGGCGCCACTAATTACACTGGTCAACACACTTTTTCTGGCATAAGGTATTCCAACGGTTTTAATGTAATTTTGGGGTGCTGATTCCAAATCTGGCATCAGTTTTTGTCTATCACATCAGGGTTTTGAGATATCAAATATTGCATTTTCAATAAAAACTGCAGAAGAAAAATATTAAATAAATGTGGATATCTACATAAAATTATATTATAAACACACTATCTTAAAAATACAGCACTATATTCTTAGGTTTTTTCGGTAAAGTAAAGTCAAAAACCTAAGAATATGAATCCTTGCAGTCACGAAAGCTTCAAATCTAGAATTAATACAGCACCATATTTTAACACTAAAGCAGTCACTGACTCGCAACAACTTGCAATCATAAGTGACAGAGTTAATTTCTGGTAAAATCAATGAAAATGGGGTATGCCGATAGCATAAAAATGAGATGTGATAGAGAAAATCTGAGATCAGATATGGAATCAGCACCCTGAAATTAGTCTAAAACAGCTGCAAAAGTCCTGGCCAGAAAAAACTATTTTTTTGTTTGTTGACCAGTGTAATCAAAGACTGGCGAGCACACGTGCGGCACGCTGGCCCCCGAGCCGTCACGCCTACGATGAGCAAAACAAAAAACTACATTCTCTTGGATCTGCTGCAGCCAAACGTGGTCACAGTTGAACTACCCTCCCTCGAGCAACCGGCCAAATCTGATGCATGAAGTGTCCACACCTGGAGCATCACGGGGCTCTGTTGCCTGCATCGCGAATAGTTAATGTTAAGACTTTGGTTCCCTTATGTCTTACTAATTCCGAACTTGAGCATCTCACCACATCTTTCTACTGCCTGTCACTTGCTTCCTTTCCCTTTCTATCTCTCCCTTCTTTTTTCTACTGCCCCCCCCCCCTCTTTCCCTTTTCTTGCTCCTCTACCGATTCCTAAACCATAACTAGAGGCCCTCTATCATTACGCTTGATTTATGACAGTGGTCCGGACACCGTCTATCCCAATCCTTTGCTTTTAAATACTTGTTGGTGTTGAAAATACAAACAACTAAAAAACAACAACAACAAAGATGGCCACGGTTTGACACAATGACCCGGCGTTTTTTTTCTTCTGTGGTGAACAGGCCATCCTGGGCATGGTTGAGGACATGGGTTTCATCAACAACTACAAGCTGGACCTGCGGACTCTGACCAGGTCTCTCTACGCAGTGCAGTACAAATGCCATTTGCAAACACATTCGCGAACGCACGCTAATTTGACGGTGAAGGTACTCTGGAGAACCCCTTGAGATGCTAGTGTGGGTAATCCTCCCTCTCCCTGTCATCTTCTAAGAGTTGGGAGTACCCACACTTCACCCCACCACACCGCCACATGCAACAAACCGATCACTATAAAAAAAACGATTTTACCAGGTAAGGTCAACTGAGCTATATAGCTGTTTTTCAGAAGCGACCTGACCACAAATGATAGATCCACGAAGTGGCTTATCATGTGGAAATTTATAGCAGCCAAATGTGGAGGAAAAAAACCTGAGGACCCTGAGTAAAATCCACATTACCACGGGGACATGCAACCTCCAAATAAGCAGGAGTCATGGTCGGGATTAAACCCACGACCTCCTGCATACCAGGCGAGGGAGTTAACATCTCAAATATAATGTACCCATTTGTACTGCTGGGTGGGTGTGCGGGGTTTAAGAAACTTGTCCATTGTCTCACAGCTGCGGTGCTTGGACATTGAACCGGTGACCTCTGGATTGCCAGTCTCGTGTGCTAAACATTACACCGTGGCAACGTGATAATTAACTTTTGCGATTTACAGCAGGGGGTCAGATGGCTCGGAGGTCAGAGCACGGAGATGACACCATTGAGAAACCTGAATTTCAACCTGGGTTTCAGCCGTGCATCGTTAATAAGTGTTCTATGGTAGACAACGTTAATTGAGCCTCTTCACCAGTGATTTCACACATTTTACCATCACGTAACATTTTTTAAACTTAATTTTGTAGAAATCACAGCTCTGAGATTTTTGGAATGGCACTTTGACTGCCAAGTGGTGATCTGCATAGCAGGGATATATCAGAGCATGCAGAGCTAATCTGATGGGATGCCAGAAGCCGTTCTGCAATATTACCTTCCTCGTTTTTTTCTCAAAACATCGAGTTATGTGCCACTTTGCCAGAGTTCCAAATAGACGCACTTTGTCTCGTGACTTTACCCGGAGTAAAACTGCAAAAAAGACCAGCAAATTCGTGGAGGAGTGGGGAATCTGAAATCATGCTAATATCGTTACTAGTTGAATGGGTTTTTTATTTCATGGTGTGTCGTGTATGTGTACTTCAATCCAGCAGTGGATTGACCACAACTGATGACGATGTAGTTAAACATAGTTATTGTACGTAGACAACTTTTGATCACAATAAGAAATGTCTTATTATTCGTATGGAATACATGAAACTTGTTGACACGTTACCGACAAAGTGATTTATGTAAACTCACGGCTTACAATCATCGTGTTTTCCTTTTTTAGTCGTGTTTTTCCAGCTGTATTTATTTAACGGTGTTCGTCCGCACAATGCATAATATATATTTCTTCGTACTCCGAGATGTTTCACAGCACGTTGCAACAAGTGCGCGTGCATCGCCCCAGTGCGCTTCGAGCGCGAACATAATGCCTCATGCCACATTTAACAAGTATGTACAGGGCCATGTAAAACGAGGGCCTCTTTGAAGAGTGCGTTTGGATTGGAGGGCTAAGGTGGCACACTGCCACGTAATACATGGGTTCAAGAGATGACACGACAGCTGCATTAAAACTTTTCAAAACAGACTTCAATGTAACAAAAAAAATGTGACATTGAAGTCATTCGCCGTCATGGCTCACATCACTTTGTGAGAACGGTTTTTAAGGGCGTTTTATAAGTTAAAATTATTATCATATCTGAACAAGTCCCCTGTGTCCTGCCTCCCACCTTCACTCACCACCCCTGATGGGCAGTGTGGTGAAGTATGGTCAACAACACGGCATTGGTCGAGGCCTTCATTTCAGGAGTGAATTGGCTGTAAAAAAAACGTTTAAATCCATATGATAAGTGATTACTCAACTCAGAACCTGCCCAGGTGTGTGATTTTTTTTCTTTCTTAAAACCAGTTAAGCAAGGCTTTATTAAACAAATAATGATATCATGTAAATATGTTTCAAAAGGAAAAAAAACTCAGTGTATTTGACAAGCATAAGCGCTATAAATGTTTTAAAAAAATACATGCATCTTACCACCCACTCCCTCCATTGAGCCCTGTGGTGTCATGTGAAGTGAAATAGACTAGGGCACATGTCTGTTTTGTATATTTATAAATCACCACGCATTAAATATTAATCTTCTTAGCTTTCGCTGGGGTGTTTGTTATGCATAAAACGGTGCCTTTGAAGTACTCCTGCAGTATTTACGTTTTATTTAGTGATCATATAATTGCTTTCTGTGACACTCCACAACCTCTTGCTTTGCCATATCAAGGCAGTAGCGAATGAAACAAAAACAGAGTGTAGTGTTTATATATATATAAAAAAATTACAAGAGAAAAAACTCAAGACATTTGTCAATAACACTGCTGTATAAGGAAATACATTTAATAGTTGATGCTTCAGGTAATGGCCCTTTTCCATGCCCGATAAGTCACCTGTTTTAAATGTTTTTTCTATGTTTAGGTTACAGTGGTGCTGATGGATGTGTTAAGTTTTGTGTTAATATATATTTTTTAAACATGTGTCAATAATACTGCCGTGAAAGGCAAAATATGTTATAGTTGATGCTTCGAGTAATGGCTCTTCTTCACTATGAGACCTCCTTTACCAGTGGCAAAATATAGTAATAGGTTTTTACCCTTTAAACTGGTACAAAAACTGACACCTTTATACAAGGCATCATGTTTGCAATAACCACAATACAAACAGTCAAAATGCAAACAAAAAGAAACAACTCTGATGATGATAATGATATGCACTGTCCTTGAAGTTTATTGATTGATTCATACCCTAAATGTCACCTGTTCTATATTTTTACTCTTAAGAACGCAGTGTCATTGACACATTTGTTGTACGCCACTGCGAATGCAGTAGGACCAAATAATTAGTGGTATTTATATATATTTAACGTGATTACTTTACGCCAAATCTCAAAAATCATCATCACTTGTATTTCCTTTCTTAACCCTCTCCCCCTCGCCCACCAACTTCCCTCTGCGTTTTCACGCCGCCGACCTTTGCAGATGGTGCCTGATGGTCCGCAAGGGATACCGCGACCCTCCCTACCACAACTGGATGCACGCCTACTCTGTCTCCCACTTCTGCTACCTTCTCTACAAAAACCTCGATCTGGGAAAATACCTTCAGTCAGTACCATTGTTACCATCACCGCCACGAGCGCCACCGACATTACCCCTAGAACCGCGATGCCACAGCGATCGAGTCCGTGTTGACAAGTGTGTGTCTTTTGGCGTGGTGGTACACGCGTTGTAAAGTTTGTTTACAATCTGTTAGACCCTGCTGACGAGAAAACGTACGGTTTGTGTATGGAAAAGCCTGCCCCGAGTGTAACGTAAAGCCCTGCTGTCACCATTTTGTTTTACGAAGCCAATGGGAAAACCATTCCTTCCCTCGTTATGGCTTTAGAACCTGATTACAGTAATAGGTTTTTACCCTTTAAACTGGTACAAAAACTGACACCTTTATACAAGGCATCATGTTTGCAATAACCACAACACAAGCAGTCAAAATGCAAACAAAAAGAAACTACTCTGATGATGATCATGATATGCACTGTCTTTGAAGTTGATTGGTCCACACCCGAGACAGCTTTTCTTAGAGCCTAGTCTCCATTGGTGTTGGACCAGATGACGCCAAAAGGCGTACAACTCAAAGACAGCGCACTATCAGAGTATTGAGAGCTCGGGGTAAGCATTTACACTATGAGACCTCCTTTACCAGTGGCAAAATATAGTGATAGGTTTTTACCCTTTCAACTGGTACAAAAACTGACACCTGAGTACAGCGGGCGGTGTTGTGAAGTCACGGGGCGAGGGGAGACGCTGGATCGGATGGAGGGAACTCGAGCCGTGGGCCTGGCCCTTGGCTTGAGAGAAAACAAAAAGCAGAGAAGCGGGGACGTGATAGAGAGGGAAGTCTGCATGATGAGATGTGACGTTTTAAATTTAAAACACATGATTAGTTTTTTTTTGTTGAGCGTTCTACGTGAGTCTAATCATATAAGTGCACAAGTATTTGACAGCAATGACATTTTTACAGTTTGCTGTTACACTGACTTCCCCCCCCCCCCCCGCCCCCCCCCCATTTAAAGGATTTTTGTTTGGCTCTTCTTTTACTTTTAGGGACATGGAAATCTTTGCTCTGTTTGTTTCGTGTCTCTGCCATGACCTGGACCATCGCGGAACAAACAATTCCTTCCAAGTGGACTCGGTGAGAACAGCCGTGGGCATTATTTGGTCATGTTTTTCCCCAAAGGAAACACGCCGCGACTGTATGACTACGACTTGTGACATTTTCTGTTGTAGTTGTTGCTGTAGCGAAGTAGTTGCCTCTGAGCTGCACCACTGATTTTAAATTTTTACACCCACATCTATCTATGTATTTATGTATCTTGGTGATATCTGTCTGCTTATATGTCTGTCTATAGTTTTCTGGTTAGATTTTATGTCGCTATTTCACAATACCTGATGACGATTGCTTGTGTTGCAATCGAAACGTCGTATGCTATTATTTAATTTATTATTTTATCTTTATACGTGACTTTACCGAAAAAAACAAAGAATAATATGCACCACTGATGTTTAAATCTGGGTAAGAAATGCGACGCAGGAGATGGCCAGGCGACTCGGGTGGTCAGAGCGCTGAGCCAGCAACCGCCGCGGGGGAAACCTGGGTTCAAACCCAGGTTCTGGCCAGTTCTGACCAAACTCTGGATTTCGAGCCTTGCTTTTTCATGAAGCCTGTATCTAGTCTAAAAGTGATCATTGTGGATGTTAATGTTTTTTTTCTCTTTTTGCACAATCAACGGAAATGTTCTATCCGCTTCTATCCACTGCTGGATGAAAGTCTCCGCATGTTTGTCACTGTCTCTCACGGCGCCGCAATGCCACGATCCATCTCGCTCCCGCGTGCACGAGCTGATCCCGTTGCTCCATCTCCGTGGTTGCCGTCAAGCCGGCATCGTTTTTCTCCTTTGGTTGCCGTTCTGTCACGAGCCTCGTCCATCGGCCATCGTCTCTTCGAGCAGTGTGTCCTGGCGAAAGCCCACTCAGCTTCCTGAAGTCAATGCGATGTCTCTTGATTTCCATTTGTTTCCTGACTCAATCTCTCGGTGTAATCTAGAGCGTGCATATCTCGATGCTTCTCTGCGCACATTTCCACTTTTGTTCCGTTTTTCTTTGTCGGTGTCAACGTTTCTTATCCAAAGGTCATTGAGAACTTTCTTCTTTGAGCACATTGGTATGTTTCTTTTCATGATCAAAGCTCAGACTTCTGCTCTTGCTCAACTAAATGTTTCATAATTTTGATCCCTACCCGCCTTCAACGCACATGGCTGTGTAAAGCAATGTCAACCTCTGGTTTAGCACGGATGGCTACGTACGGTGCGAAATAAGTTCAACATGCATGCAACACAATAATACTTGTATACCGGGGATGCCACTGCCACGGTTGAATGTTTGGCAAGCTGGACTTGCTGTCCAGATGTTGCCAATTCAATCTCCCGGCGCAGCAGTTGATTGCAAGGTTCTTAAATCCCCCCCCCTCCCAGCGCCTCTGGCCACTCAGCAGTATAAATGGTAGTTATTCGATCGGCAGGTATTGTGTGTTGAGGTGAAGTGTGGATATCCCCACCTCTTCCAATATGTGTGGCCAGTGTGGAAGAGTAGGCCAATATACCCTCTAGTAGGGCGGCTGGTGGGGATGGCCCACTGCTACTGGCCTAGCTACTGCTATTTTTATTTTTACCAGGTAAGGCCCACTGAGCTACGTAGCTGTATTTCAGAAGTGACCTGGCCACAAATGATAGCTCAACAAAGTGGCTTGTCACGTGGAAATTTATAGCAGCCAAATACTCTCTAAACGCGTGATGTTGATTCTAAATGTGGAGGGAAAAACCGGAGGACCCAGACAAAAATCCACGCGACCACAGAAAGAAAACATGCAAACTCCAAATATTCAGGCGTCAGGGTCGGGATCGAACCCATCACCTCCGATATATCAGGCGAGGACGTTAACATCTCGCCACCGCCTTTACCTTTTATCATCTTTGATGTACCCATGTGACCTTTCTGAAAAAATGATTGCACAGTTTATGAACATTATACACAACCACTGACGAAAGGGGGTTTAGAGTTACGATATGCAATTTTCTAAGGTCAGCAAAACAATTTGGGGCAATTTCATCTGGCCTTGTTTTATTTTTTATTACGCTGTGTTAAATCACGCTGCATGCGCCTGTCCTGTGCATGAGGTTCATTTATTGTCAACGCATGTTTCCAAGGAAATTCATTACAGGCAATTAATTGTCTTCATCTTGAATGTGGCGCTGCGCTAAAGTGCGCTGCCTCATATTTCCCTCGCGTGGCGGAAGCGCTTCCGTGTTATTTTCTGGTGTCACTTTCGAGGAAAAAGTCCAATGTTACATTTTTTTAAATATATATGAATTGTGTTTGAGGTATATCGTTATTCTTATCATGAGCACTGCCTTCATTCCTTGCCTTGTCTTGTTTTTCTCCTTGCAGAAATCAGTCCTTGCTGCTTTGTACAGCTCCGAAGGCTCCGTGATGGAGGTACGGAGCAATTTTGTGTCGCGAAAATATTATTTTCTCACGCGTCGCAATGCTGCTGGGTTTTATTACCCTGACGGTGATGCGTCTGACACACCTCTTTGTCCTATTGTGTGCAATTTATTGCAGAGGCATCATTTCGCTCAGGCTATCGCCATTATCAACTCGGCTGGATGCAATATACTTGAGAATCTTTCCAGAAAGGTGAGAATTATTACGCTGCACTTTACCGTTTCCCCCAGCTGCACGCCTATCACTCGCCTCCGCTTTTGATGCCCCGACACAAACAAACACACACACACACTTTCACAGGGACACGGCGACAATCAGCATGCACATAAGACACCCAAACATCGGGGCTGTGAGTCAATAAGCCAGTGGTCTGTGCAATCCATTGTTGCCAAGCGTACAACTCTCACCTGCACGGCTCTTTGACAAAATGTCACGGGCACGAGCAAGTACAAGAATCGTTGTGTTTTGTGTGCGCAAGTGTGTGCGTTAGTGTGTCTTTGCTTTTTGTTGGGGGAGCGATGGTGTTGCGGTTAGCGCGCTGCGCTACGAACCCAGTGACCCGAGTTCGATTCCCGCTCACGGCCTACACCAGTGACGATTATCTGAACCGGTCATGGGCCTCCCCTAGGTCAACTCAGCCTCAAATGAGTACCTGGTGCGGTGTGTAAATATCGCAACTGGGAAGATAAATGCGGTCGGGCGTGGTGCTGGCCACCCACCCCTCGTGTGCCACAGTGCCGGTCTTCATAGGTGCTCGCGAACAGCACTTGCCCCAACAGTCTGTGAAGGCTATATGGGGGGGGGGATCTTTATCTTTTATACATTCACAATTTTGGGCGGAGCAGTGGTGTATTCGTTTGGCGTATTGCGAACCTGGGTTAGATTTCGGGCCACGGCCAACATCAGCGGTGAATATCTGAACCTGGATCTGGGGCCTCCACTCGGTTGACTTAAATCTTAAAAAAAAAATTTGCGCCTGGCGCAGTGTGGAAAAAAAAATCCGCCACTGGGTTAACGAAGGTGGCGGCAGGGCACGCACGGCGCTGGCCACACCATTAATTATACTTTCTCCTGCGAAATACTTCTCGAGCGATCACTACTCATGTGGTGCAGCGACCTTAATAGGCGCTCCGACATTAATAGGCATTCGCCAACCAGCCTTTGCCCCGACAGTCTCTGCAAGCTATTCGGGCGATATTTGTCTTTGTGTGTGCGGGGAAAGGCGTTTGTAGTGATTAGCGCACCGTGCTATTAACGCAGCAACTCAAAGTCGATTCGCACTCATGGCTAACGTCAGCCATGAACTATTTTGTTAAGTTTCTTTAATTCATTAATTCTTCCCTTCATGCACGCAACGTTGCAGCGTCGGCCAGAAACGTTTTAGTCGTATTTTTCCAGTGACGTCCTAGAAACTGCGCCCAGGCTGCAGTGAAAGCGTCGCTTCACAGCGCGATGACCCGTCCAGTGGCGAGGCTTCGAGGCAGCTGCGTGCGTTCACTCGGCGACGACCTCACGGCCGACGCGCGTGCTCTGGGGTTTGGCAGCGCTCCTCCTCCCGCGAGCTTTAATTATCGCGCCCGTCGCTCGGCCTAATGCAGTCGGACAATTTTTTTTTTAATGCCTCGCTCCGTTCAAATCGTCGGCTAGAATCAACAGCAATGATTATTTATTCACGTTTTGCACACTCACCCCCACCACCCCGTCCTCACCTCCCTCAAAGTGCTCTCGTTACTAAAGCTGCTTCTATGAGTTAATGTCACGGCACGCTAACGATGCGAACACGTTTCGCAGCAGCCCTCTTTTTTGAACGCGTCTGTGGAAAATGTTGCGTGTCAGTTGAACGTTGCGAATTAAAGCTTCGGTGATGGTACGGGGGGGGGGGGGTGGGAGAACGTGGCCTGGTGGCTCAGAAGTCAGAGGGCTGAGCTGGCACCGCTGAGATCATTGGTTCATATCCAGACAACCACCTGTGACTAAATCAGGTTCCTTAAATGCATTGAGGTGATGGGCCCCAGCCTGATCACCAATAACTATGTGCACACACAACAACAACAAAAAAGCTTTCACTTTGAATATGGTTCTGCACTATAGTTGGATAGATTCCAGTTCTGAGATCTAAATTTTCATTTTTCAATATTATACGATGATCAATGCTCTTTGCAGCAAGGCTACAGTGCCACACTCCAACGTGTAGACCAGAAGTCACTTGACGGGGTTTCAGAAGTCGTTCAATAATACATCTGGTTCTGTGTTCAGTTGCCCTAACGGAGAGCGTTGCGCTGATCTGAGAGACATGATAATGCAGCGGTCGGGAACCTATGGCTCGCGAGCCATATATGGCTCTTCCAGTGACGGCATATGGCTCCCAGACAATTTTGAGTTGAAAAAATAACAAAAATCAGTTTGGAACTGATTTTAAAATACTTGTGATATTGCTTAATAATAGTGTGTCATTTTAAAATAAACAGAAATTAGTTTTGAAGATAAATTTCACGGGTCACGCCTGCATGAAGCTCAACCTCACCACGTATGAACCAGAATACAAGGCCATCAGCAAAACCATGCAGCACCAGAAGTCGCATTAAAAGTAAGACATATTTAATTTATTATACGTTAAAAATTCTATATGGCTCTCAATGAAATATATTTAGAAATATTTGGCTTTTATGGCTCTCCCAGGAAAAAAGGCTCCCGACCCCTGTGATAATGGATTCTTCCTCTCATCATGACATTGCAGCACAATCATCATGAAATTAGAAAAAAAGACTAAAATGACAAAAATGTCTGAAATTAAATGTATCCTGTTGTTGATTCACAAAAAATATAGTTAAGCGATTGTAAACTTAGAAAAAAATTTATGTAGGTGGAATATTAGATTTGGGGCAACAATTATTCTCACTTAAAAAATGGTAATTTCCCAAAAGGATGGCGCTATTGAATAATTAATTAATTACTTAAATCTCAATGTGGATTTTTCAGCATGCTTTGTGGCCGTTCACTACATGACATGTTATCTGCCCATGGTATTTATATTTATATACATAGGGTGGCCCAAAAGTCAAAACACATCGGTTTATTTAATTTTTTTTTACACTGGCATTAAAACATTTTAATCGAGTATTCTTTAAGTTAATATTTTATGGATCATTATTAATAAAGATGTTTCTTCTTCCTGTGGAGTCACAACAAAACTCGATCAAGAACCCTGAATGAATTGAGACAAAGATGAATTGATGAATAAAAAATGTATCCTAAATTTATTTTAAAAATAACTCATGCGTGCATTAATGTTAATGTGAGTGTTTGAACATTTGTTCAAATAAATATAACCCTCTGATATGTGTAGTATCTACCGGCACAGCTCTAGGCATATAATGCTGGATATGACGTATTGATTCATAGCCTCTCATCTCTCTGCCAATGCGAATAGGACGTGATCAACTGTGTGTCTGTGCACCCGTAGCGCCTCCCGCAATCATTGGTTCAATCTTAGATGAAATCCACACTGATAGGCCCCATGACCACCGTGTCTCACCTGGGATAAGTTTTCAAGTCAAAAGGTCAGTCACCAAGGTCCACGCTTTTAAATCTTGTCAATTCCTACACGATCTGCTCTTTGAAATTATTGGCTGATGCTGGTGAATGTTTTTTTTTCATCAGAAATAATAATTTGGTCGTTTTGTACGTGTTCTGGAAATGCGTTTGAGATTAAAAGATCAGAGATAAAGTGAAATGCTCTAGGTGAAAAAAAAAGGTTTGAGTGATAATTCACAGATAAAACCTCTCACGATCCATAATAATAAAAAAAACTAGTTGGATAGATTTATATATTGCTACGTTCCATTGTTGTGGTTTTTATTTATATATGATCCACTTAAGTTCAAGTTATTAAAATATGCAACCTGAAAGTTTTGATTGCAGCCACGGCAATAAGCTCACACTTTTATTATGGAAGAGTGTGGAGTGTATTTATTACCTGATTAAAATTCATTCTCGTAAACTCAAGTGATATACATTTGTCATCGGTTTTAAAAGCAATGGAGCAATGCAATATGTGTAATTGCAATACTGTATTCAGAATGTGTTGCAATGTGACCTTTTGAGAAAGTTTTCCGCTGACTTTTGTGGGTTTGTTTTTGTATTCTCTTTCATATTTCAACCTATTTTACGTACAAATAAAAACGCCATTAAAATTGCTCAATTTTCCAACAAAAAATGTTTCGCCCGATTGGGCAAAACGTCCTTCCAAATGCATGCCACTCGGTATTCACGTCGCCCTATGGCCTCTGCACCTTTGCCCTTTGACCCTAAAACACAGGAGTACCAGAGGATGCTGGACCTTATGAGGGACATCATCTTGGCTACAGACCTCGCTCACCACCTCCGCATCTTCAAGGACCTGCGGAAAATAGCCGATGGTATCGTGACGGGAGAGCATTGCACCTTTTTTGTTTTTTGTTTCGCAGATGTTCCATATCGAGCATCGATGTTTGGAGTCCAAGTAAAATTCAGCAGTTTAATGCAGCCACAGAGATACTAATCTGGCGTTGCCATCCAACAGTGTCTTCATATGCAACCGTCATTAGATGCAGTAGAACTACCAAAGACGATTAATCACATCGCATTGTATTTGTATGGGTGGTTTTTAACATTACGAAGTCTATTTAAATTTGGAATGAACAAATAATTGTAACGATTGTAATGGTAAGGACCAGCAAATGATCAGCATTTTTGGAGTACGGTCAAATAATCCCCAAAGTCAACAGCACAGTGAGGCCTTCATCTAGCAGTGAGTTGACAGACGGCTGTACATTATTTTATTGTTTGACGACAATAACAATATGCTCCAGTAATTCACCAGGAACGTTTCACGGAGTGCTCAATGCTCTTTACTCATGAGAGTCCTGCATTCGGATGTTTGGCCAATCCCATGCATGAACATTTCGCATTAAACTTTAACCGTAAGTGCACATTCAGTGGGGCCATGGGTAATTGATGTTTGTTTTGTTTTACAAGCTGTTACGCAATACCAGCATGAAGGATTATTATTCAAACGTCAACAATCTGGTGCCACAACATTTAACTGCGGGCTCATGTGGCAGCCATGACCTACAATTTTCACGTGGCAACTTCTGCGGAGTTGTAACTCAGAGACACAGTGGATTGCTGATTGTTTTAGGCACAACCCCAGCAAAGGGACCTAGATCTCCAGGGACCCACAAAACTCTGACGTGACCCATATACCAGGGCCCACTGAGCCTTTAGCCAGTGCAGACAGTTGGCCACAGATCCTCCGGGCACATCGATTTTGGGCCTCAAAATATCGTTGTGTATTGTAGCAAACGTGCATCGATATAATAATTTAGTGTGTTGGGTATTCGCGCCATTCCTGTATCGCAAAGCTATCACAAAAGTTGCTTTGTTTTCACATTCAGTCTGCAGTAGTTTCACAATCGGGAGTAATGATTGCTTTATTTAATCCCAACGGGGAGTGCTTTTTGCGAGGTTTACTTTCTTCGAATTTTGATGTGTAGCCGATTAACAGATAATCACGCTCACAGCTATGCACAGCACGGAGACTTTGCTTAACACGCACGTTCCTTTACAACGCATTCACGTCGATGTTTTCTGTGTCCACAGCCGGGTACAATCCGGACAACGGTCACCAGCACAGCTTGCTGCTGTGCCTGCTCATGACCTCGTGCGACCTTTCCGACCAAACCAAAGGCTGGAAGACCACGAGGAAAATCGCTGTGAGGCCTCCCCGCCAATGAACACGTCAAAGACGCACACCTGCACAATTCGCGTGAACTTTCCGAAAGCCACCGTGCGCCGTTCCCTCACTCGTGATGATGTCGTGTGTGCGTGTGTCTTTTTTTTGTCTTTTTTAGGAGTTGATTTACAAAGAGTTTTTCTCACAAGGAGATCTGGTAGGTTACACGACGCATCGATCACGTTCTCTTTGCGAGTGAATCAATTGCGTAATGTGTGCTCGGACGTTGGGTCGAATTGATTGACCGTTTGTCTGGTGCCCCATCCCCCCCCCCCCCCCCCCCCGCGGCAGGAGAAAGCCATGGGCAATCGTCCGAGCGAGATGATGGACAGGGAGAAGGCCTACATCCCCGAGCTTCAGATCAGCTTCATGGAGCACATCGCCATGCCTCTCTTTAAGTACGTATTACACTGGTCAACAAAAAATAAAAAATTCTGGCCTGGACTTTTGCAGCTGTTTTAGACTAATTTCAGGGTGCTGATTCCAAATCTGAGATCAGGGGGGGGGACAGTAGAAAAAAGAAGGGCGAGATACAAATGGAAAGGAAGCGAGTGACAGGCGGTAGGTGGAAAGATGTGGTGAGATGTTCAAGTTCGGAATGAGTAGACATAAGGGGACCAAAGTCTTCACATGAACTATTAGCGATGCAGGCAACTGAGCCCCGCGATGCTCCAGGTGTGGACACTTCATGCATCAGATTTGGCCGGTTGTTCGAGGGAGGGTAGTTCAACTGTGACCACGTTTGGCTGCAGCAGATCCAAGAGAATGTTGTTTTTTATTTTTCTCATCGTAGGCGTGACGGCGCGGGGCCAGCGTGCCGCACGTGTGCTCGCCAGTCTTTGATAACACTAGGTCAACAAACAAACAAATATTTTTTTCTGGCCTGGACTTTTTACAGCTGTTTTAGACTAATTTCAGGGTGCTGATTCCAAATCTGATCTCAGATTTGCTCTATCACATCTCAATTTTATGCTATCAGCATACTCTATTTTCATTGATTTTAACCGAAATTAACTCTGTCACTTATGATTGCAAGTTGTTGCGAGTCAGTGACTGCTTTAGTGTTAAAATATGGTGCTGTATTTTTAGGATAGTGTGTTTATAATATCATTTTATGTAGATATTCACATTTATTTAATATTTTTCTTCTGCAGTTAAAAAAAAATGAAATATTTGATATCTCAAGACAAAAACGGATGCCAAATTTGGAATCAGCACCCCAAAATTACATTAAAACCGTTGGAATACCTTATGCCAGAAAAAGTGTGTTGACCAGTGTTATCGTCCACAATCGAGGTTTTTTTTGGGGGGGTTAGATTGCGTAAATATGTTAAAATGTCGTTAAACCCGCCAACACCTGACACAGCCAATTAGTAAGGTTTGTCAGGCATCTGCTCCGATTTACTCCAAACGCGTAATTGTTCCTGCCTGTTGCCCACACCCAGAGGCACGGCAGAGCATTGGAAGACGAAGGGAATATTGTGTCACGCGTGGGTCTCTGTAAATAAACATCGCCTGTGGCTATGCTTGTTGTGCGGGGTTGACGGAGGAAAACGACTGTGATTCGATTGTTGTCCAGGTGCCAACAAGACAATCAGATTACAATTGGTGTAAATAAGCGTAGAGCAATACAAAACAAGTATAACCCGTAAAAACAAAGTTTTTCACTATAAATCCTTTATATGCTTTGCGGCAAAGGTCCTCTCGTCCTCTGGCTTGAGATAGCTGCCACCTATGGGTCAGATGATTGCATGGCAGCATTAAGCAATTGGTAATTAAATATAATATTTTTGTCCTAAAAAGTGTAACATTTTGGAAAAAATATTTCACGAACATTAATTGTCACGCACAACGAGTCTGTGTGGAAAATTTCAGCTCGATTGGATCACAGGAAGTGGGTTAAAAACGACCGAAAGATTTGCACGGTCGTAAGCATGCAAGCGAACTTAATATAAAGGATTTAAAAAGAGCAGGGATCACTAAAAAGAAAACGCTCCACAGAATATAATTGTAATTTCATAGACGTATCATAGTCTTCATCATCGGCCATGATCTGCATGAAAGCCTCCCCAAGGAAAATAACATTTCACCGGCTGGATGCAGGTAAAAGATAAGTGGGCTGATACAAAGCACGTTGGAAATCTTTTGATGCTCAAGTTTAAATAAGAGACCAACGAAGATCGTACAGTGCTGTTGGTGCGGTGGAGAATTCACACCATCTTCTGGGAGTGGTTCAGAACTACAGCTGGTAAGGGCAGATGAAAGGGACTGGAGAGCAATGTTGATGGGAGAGCGCGTGGAGGAGTGGAGAGCAAGGGTGATGGGACAAATTGTGGGGTTACCGTGTGAAGGTTTCAATTTCGTCGTTATTTCCCAACAATGGCAACAAAAAAGTGATTCCACATGGTAAGTTGTGCGAGTCGGAGAAAATTAGATAAATACCAAATGACCAACATTTTATTTTTCAAGTTATCGGTGGAAAATAGCTGAATTTGTTAACGCGAGTATCTTTGCGTGGGAAAACTGATGTGCCCAGGGCAAATTGGCGAAACGTGATGTGTGTTGTTTACCGCCTTCTTGACAGATGTCACTTTTTTTAAGCTTTCACGCTCCCCCTGGGTCTCGGCGTCACACAATTAACGTGCCACGGGAAACGCCACAACCATAGCCCCGCTTGATTAATGAAGCCACTTTTCCGTAATGATATCTATCCCATTCTATTGTTCTCAAGTTGCAAGTGCCGTGCGTTGCACTCGACGCTCACGCAAACCTCTCAATGCACCGCAGCTCGCTTGCTCAATTTTTTTTTCATTTTTCACCAAACGCACCATCCATCATGCCCCAACCCCAGCAGCGGGCGGTGACTACTACCACGCCCCCAGGGGGGGTCCCTCCATGTGTCACTTCACTTGGCAGCCTGAATTCTGGAATCGTAGCCGCACCAGGACCACCGGGGTGTTTGATCGCAGAAGCAGCCCAGAGGTCGATTTCCCAGGGGTATGTCCGGTACTCATTTACAACGCGAACTCGCCACCATTTACAACTGATTTTTGTTGTATGTTTAGTTTGTTGTCCTTCCCCCGCGCTTAAGATTTAGTACGGTTGGCTACGTACGGCGCGAAAGAAGTTCAACACACAGTACAAAGATCCCCCGTTCAGCCTCAACAGACTGTTGGGGCAGGTGCTGTTAGCGAGCACCTATGAAGGCCGACACGGCGCACGAGGAGGTGCGGTGGGCCAGCATCACGCCCGGCCGCCTTTGTCTCCCCGAGCGTCGACGTTTCCACAGACGTTGAAAGAGGAGCCGACCGCGTGGTGTGGTGTGTGTGGTGTGTATGTGTGGTGTGGTGTGTGTGGTGTGGTGTGTGTGGTGTGTGTGGTGTGGTGTGTGTGGTGTGTGTGCGGTAATGTAGCGGTTAGCGCACTACGCTACGAACCTGGCGACCCGGGTTCGATTCCCGCTCACGGCCAACACACAGTGACGATTATCTAAACTGGTTCTGGGCCTCCTCTAGGTCGACTCAGCCTCAAATTAGTACCTGGTGCGGTGTAAACATCGCCACTAGGGAGACAAAGGCGGCCGGGTGTGGTGTTGGCCACCCACCCCCTCGTGCGCCGTGTCGTCCTTTACAGGTGCTCGCTAACAGGACTTGCCCCAACAGTCTGTTAAGGCTACACGGGGGATCTTTGTCTTGTGGTGTGTGTCGCGGTTTTGCAGGCTGCTCAAGGACATGCTGCCGGGCGCCGCCGAGCTGTACGAGCGAGTGGCCGCCAACAAGGAGCACTGGATGCGCGTGTCGCACAAGTTCACGATCCGCGGGCTGCCCAGCGACAACTCGCTGGACTTCCTCGACGAGGACCTCGAAGGCATCTTCGACAGCGGCGCCGAGGACGCCGGCGAGCAGGCGTCGAGCAGCCCCGTGCCAAAGCGGAGCCACAACGGCGTGGCGGCGGCGGCGGCGGAGACTGCGACGGAGGAAGAGGAGGAGGAGCGGGAGGATGGGGAGGTGGTGCACGGGCCTCATGGCGGACCGCCGGGCAGCGTCAACGGCACGAGGGCCGGGGCCACCAGGGTCGAGGTGCCCCCGCATCACCACCACCAGACGGGCAGAGAAAGTTGAACGGAAGAAACAAGAAGAAGAGGAAAGAAGAAGCAAGTGTTACAACAGCAGCAACAGCAAAAGAGAGACATTGTTCTGTGTGGGTGATTTTTTTTTTTACATGTAAAAATATAAGGACATATAAAAAGGACAAATTACAAAGATATAATATATCACTATATTAATTCACAAAAAAATATAGCCCGGTTTCTCCCCCCCCCCCACCCTGCCCCACCACATTTTGTTCTCACTGCTGGAAAGGTGAAACGTCTTTCATGCTTGTTGTCATTGTTGTTTGGTCACGGTCGTGAATATCCCAGTGCTTTTCTTGCCATGCCTTTATATAGATTTTATCGAGTGTGTGTGTGTGGGGGGGATAAAATACGTTTGAAAAGGACACATTTTGTGAACGATGCACATATTTTTATTCATTTTATAAATTGCACACACGTCGCTACTCAAAACAAAATATTGTGAGCTAGAATTTGGGATTTGTCCTTTGTGCTGATATAATGCTTACATGTATTCGTGTACATGTCTTCGAACATTTTTAAACAAAGATTTTTGGGAAAACAATTCTCATTTAAAATATAAAAAAATATATAAAAAACACGAAAAACACTACCTATGCAATGTGATAATTTGTCAGTTGAGTGGCACCTAGGGACGACATCCAATAACACAGTAGGCATCCCTCGAAACACGTCATGGAATTATTGAAGGTGTTAATGAGATTTAATCACAATCAGAAGAATACGCGTGTAAATACGTGTGTGTGTGTGTGGGTGCGGTGTGTATTTGTGTAAATTATTGTGACAGGTCCGACCAATATTACATCTCCCCCGTATACAGGTTTCCCTCGCTGTACGCGGTAGTCGAAGATGCGTTCCAACATAAGGACATCACAAAACGAGACCCCACGAGGAGACGGCTCTCTGCCGAGTAGCGCGCACAGTACACACAGTACACACAGTACACACAGTACACACAGACATTACACACACACAGTACACACACAACGTTGTCCCACATCCGCACCGCATAGCAGAATATGATGGAATTCAAACTGCCAGAGTAGTCGCGAATTTTGGATATAAATAGGTTTGCCGCATATGCAGCGTGAAATCGCACAAACCGAACCCGCATAGAGGGAAGGTGAACCTGTACTACTTTAAAGACTGTGGAAAGCTGCGGCAATGTGATTCGCGCCCCAAACGAGCCGCGTTCAGCGACTCTTAGCCATGGCTGACATCGGTGGCGAGTGGTGTCTCAACCAATCCCTGGGCACGGGCCTTAAGTGCGTGTCTTGTACCACGCGTGAACATCAACACTGGGGAGACATGAGCAGCGGGCCATACCCCTGACCACACCACCCACATATGCACCATGCCTAATACAAGTACCTTGATAGGCACTTGCGAACAGCACTTGCCCCTACACTCTGTATGTTCATGCGGGTGAGCTTTGTATATACGTTACATTTACTATACAACAACAATGTGTATACTTCAAATTCAACGTGGATGGTAAAGCTCTGAAGAAATTCTGAATCTGCAATTATTGACATTAAATTACATTTTGATAATTTAAAACGAAAAACCAGACTTTCCATTAAGGGTTGACTTTTGAGCTGTTCAATTCTCTTCATGTAGCATTGTTTTTTGCTGAACGTTAATGTTTTAATTCAATCCGTTGAAGCCTAAAGTGGATTAACCTGGTCAGGAAGGGGGTCTTTGTTGAGGGAGGAGACTTGGTGAGCGAGTGGCCTTTGGTGAGGGGTGATGTACTGGACATCTGTGAACAAACTGGTTTATAACCCATCGGATTCCTCCAGTATATACATACATATTCTGATTCGAGAATACCCCTAGAGTCTGCGAGAGCGGGGGCGGAAGATGACTCATCGACTGACAACATGGTAACGACTGGACCGGAAACGACTACGAGTAATGAGAGCACAGCACAAGAGAACACCACAGCAACTGTCACAAGTTCCGCTGCAACAGCAGGCCACAAACAGATGCAGGTATGTGTCTGTGGTTGGAGGAAAGTTACATCACACCATGGGTTGAGGATCCACCAGGGGAAGAAGGGGTGTTTGGGTAAAGAGAGACAGAGGCCTCGCATTGATTACTTTCTGCGAAAGCGATCAAATCAGTCGAATGAAGCACAGCAACTGGACGCAAACCATAGTTTGCAGTGCATCAGTACCACTGTCATGGAGGACGTAAACTCAAGCACCGAAGTAACAACTGAGGTGGAACCAACAACAGGAGTGGAACTCACCCAGCCTCCGAGACCTGCAATCGAGAGGAGACTACCAGGGCACAGACCGTATGTGAAGTGGCCTGGCGCCAGTGACAAGAAGTTGTGGGAAACAGTGAATACTGACCTTACCTTGACCCTCGAGAAACTTCGAGGCACAGTGGAGAAGAAGTTGGAGAGGATGGGGGACATCATCTATGAGTACGGGGCAGAAAGCTTTGGAGTGCAAGAGGCAAAAGGCGGGAGAACGGTTCCAACCCCACCAGTTTCCAGGAGGCAACAAGAAATCAAGCGCCTCGTTCAAGAAAGGAGACAGCTTAAGAAACAGTGGAAGAAAGCCTCGGAAGTGGAAAAGGAGGGCATAGAGGCACTTCAGGCTGACATCAAAAACCGGTTGGCATCCCTCCGTAGAGCAGAGAACCTACGGAAGCGCAGAAGGAAGAAAGAACAAACTAGAACTCGATTCTATAAAGATCCCTTCAAGTTCCTTAAAAGTCTCTTCACGAAGGAAAAAAGTGGAGTTCTAAAAACAACAAAGAAAGACCTAGAAGAGCACCTGAGAACAACAAACTTTGACTCAAAGCGACATGAACATCTGGCCATCCCATCAGATATCCCACCCATTGAACCCCCGGAACATCATATTGAGACCAGCCCTCCGACATGGAAAGAGGTGGAAAACACAGTTCGAAGGGCAAGAACAGCATCAGCCCCGGGGCCAAATGGAGTCCCGTACAAAGTGTATAAGAACGCACCAGACGTCCTGAGGTTCCTCTGGAGGCTTATGAGAACAGCTTGGCAAAAGAAGATAATACCCAAAGTGTGGCGTAGGGCAGGCGGGGTCCTGATCCCTAAGGAGAAGGATGCAGTGAACATCAGCCAATTCCGCCCAATCTCCTTACTGAATGTCGAGGGTAAAATCTTCTTTAGGATCATTGCCCAGAGGATGGCCGAGTACCTGCAAAGGAATGCGTACGGCGATACATCTGTACAGAAGGCAGGAATATCAGGGTTCTCTGGCTGCTTGGAACATTCCAGCATGATCTGGCACCAGATCCAAATGGCCAAGGTGGAGAAAAGGGATCTCCATGTAGTCTTCCTCGACCTCGCCAATGCATTTGGCTCTGTGCCCCATGAACTCCTGTGGTCTGCCTTCAGATTTTTCCACATACCGGACACCATCACAACCCTGGTGAAGTCGTACTTTCAGGATCTGCAGTTCTGCTTCACCACCTCAGAGTTCACCACCTCATGGTAATGCCTGAATGTAGGTATAATGGCGGGATGTACCATTTCACCATTGGCATTCATAATGGCAATGGAGGTTATCATCAGATCCTCAAAATGGGTTGCTCGTGGACAGCGAGTCGACTCTGGTTTTCGCCTCCCTCCACTCAGAGCCTACATGGACGACATTACAACATTGACCACCACTGTCCCATGCACCAGGAGACTGCTCAGAAAACTCGAGGAGAACATCAGCTGGGCCCGTATGAAGATTAAACCATCCAAGTCACGCAGCATCTCGATTGTGAAGGGAGTACTCTGTGACCTGAAATTCTTCATCGGAGATGACCAAATCCCAACAGTGTCTGAGCAGCCGGTAAAAAGCCTTGGAAGGTGGTATGATGCAAGCCTGAAGGACAAAGACCAGGTGCAACAGCTGCGCAAAGACATCAGTAGTAGCCTACAGTCCATCGACAACACCCAGCTACCTGGAAAGTTAAAGGCCTGGTGTCTGCAGTTTGGTCTCCTACCCCGGGTGTTGTGGCCCCTAGCAGTGTATGAGGTTCCAATCTCAACAGTGGAGAAGATGGAAAGAGGAGCCACGAGCTACTTAAAGAAGTGGCTCGGAGTTCCACGATGCCTTACCACCATAGGCCTCTATGGAGATGGTGTCCTCAAGCTGCCCCTCACCAGTCTAACCGAGGAATTCAAGTGTGCAAAAACCAGGCTCCAGATGACACTGAATGAATCTCGAGACCCAGTGGTGAGCAACAACGCGCCGACCTTGGCAACTGGGCGCAAATGGAGGCCAGGAAAAGCAGTCCAGGAGGCAACAGCAGCCCTCAGACATGCTGACATTGTGGGTCATGTTCAGCAAGGGAGAGGAGGCCTTGGGCTAACTAGCCGTGCTGCTTGGAGTAAGGCCACTGCACCAGAGCGGCGGAAGATGGTAGTGCAGGAAGTACGCCATCAGGAGGAGGCTGCAAGGTGGGCCAAGGCAGTCTCTCTTGCCAAACAAGGACAGTGTACTCGATGGGACAGTGTGGAGAAGAGGAAGATCAGCTGGAAGGATCTGTGGGCCACGGAAGCGAGGCGGTTGAGCTTCTCCATCAGAGCAACATATGACATCCTTCCAACACCAGTTAATCTTCACCAATGGTATGGTGAAGATCCGGACTGTGCCCTCTGTTCCATGCCAGCCAACCTCAGGCACATTCTCACAGGGTGTAAAACAAGCCTCACCCAAGGACGCTACACTTGGCGTCACAACCAAGTCCTTAAAAACCTTGCGTCCGCCCTGGAGGACAAGCGAGCTGCCACCAACTCCCTACCACCCCCAGCAGCATCACACCCCTTACGGACGACCTTTGTCCGCGAAGGGGCTAAACCACCGAAGAGCGGCTCTACACCAATAGAGCGAGACCAGCTGCGCTTGGCCCGCGACTGGAAAATGCTAGCTGACATTGGCCGGCAACTTGTGTTTCCTCCGGAGATCGCAACCACCACCCTAAGACCTGACGTGGTGCTCTGGTCCCGTTCGCTCAAGAAGGTCTTCATCATTGAGCTCACAGTACCCTGGGAGGACTCAGTAGATGAGGCTTATGAGCGAAAACATCTGCGCTATGCCGATCTGGCTGCCGAAGCACGGCATCATGGCTGGAACACAGAAGTCCGACCAGTGGAGGTGGGCTGCAGAGGTTTTCTGGCAACATCTACAACCAGACTGCTTAGAGACCTGGGAATTAAGGGCCAGAGCCAGCGTTCGGCAATCAAAGCTGTATCGGAGGCAGCAGAAGGCAGCAGTCAGTGGCTCTGGATGAAGAGGAAAGACCCCAGCTGGGCCCCAAAGTGAGAGGGCCAGGAGGTATGCAGTCAACAATGCTTGACTCAGGGAGGAGGACGCCCCTGCCATGCATAGTCCCATTGGATGTTGGCTACCAACAACAAGGCAACTCCTATGACTAATTGGGAATGGGACGCAAGCGTAGGATTGATCACCCTGTCGCTGGCCGCCTTTGGGGAGGGTGTATAGTATGAAAGGCCGAAACACCCTAGGAACCAAAGGGTCACTACTGACGATGCGCTCCCCAAATTTCACCAGGCTCACTGTTCATGAACTCTTGGAAGTGCTTGCACAAAGGATAGTAACATCTCATCCTGTGTTCTTTGGAATCATACATATTCTGATTCTGAATTCCTCGGTGGGGACGGGGGTCCTCGGTGAGGGAGGGTCTCCTTGGATAGGGACGGATCCTCGGATGATGGAGGGGTCTTTGGTGAAGGAGGTTTCCTCAACGTGTTCACAAAGTGCCACTGCAGGCATTTATCCACTGAAATAAATAAAAATACGAAATTGACTCGTATTGCGCTGCTTTTACATCACGTTTTTAAATTCTGAGTTTCGGAATCGTTGGGCGTGATCTTGCGATTCTGTAACGCAGATGCGATCCGACACGTGCTTAGAGCTGTATATAAATATGGGCAAAATATTTTAAAAGTACATTTCACGTGGCCATGTGGAAGACGCAGTACTTTATTTCGTATTTTTTTTCCAAAACTCGAGTTCTGTGTAGATGACTGCTGCTTTACCTTTGATGTTTTCTTTACCTTCATGGACATTAAACTCTTGTTTATGGGATTTAATTTTGCTTTCAGAATGTAAGAATTGGCACCGGTGTTTGGCAGAATAGGCGTTAGCAATGTCGAGCGCGATGTGACATTTCTGCAGCAGCAATTGAAAAGGAAATGAGTTGGCGGAAAAAAAATCTACCTTAACCTGAGACATTGACAAGCATCTGACAGTTATTGCATCCAGAGGCATTGTACCATGCAGCGACATTTGTATTTGTGCATGTTCCCGTTCTACCTTGAGCCCAAAGCTTTCCTCTTAACGTCTCTGTACGTAAGAAATATGCTCAGAGTAAGTATGTTGCAATTATGATTGATTGCCCGACGATCTGGTTTTAGCTTGAGAATACAAATTTGTAAAACGAACAATAATAACCCATACAAATGTACTGCGTGCTGTTGTGGAGAATTATGACGTAATGCGTTATATAAGCAAACATCTGCTTGCCTCTCAACACAAAACAAACACCTTTTAGTCCATCAGACCATTGGATTTCTGAGCTAATGTTCAGCAGAATACATTTTACAAGTCGAACTCTGCTGATGAGTAACCAGAAGGTCAAAGCCAGGTCAAATTTGGCGTTTTTTTTTATCAAAAATGCTGCTGGATAATATTGGATCGAAAAGGCCAGCAGGCTATCAATCGATCAATCGATGTCTATTTTGTCACGCAGTAAGTCCCGTTTATCCATTTATCCAGCTAGTTTGCAGGGGAGATCCCCCGTGCACCACAACAATAACATTAACATCAACGCGATGTTAATGTGGCTATAAGGCTAATGCGACTAAAACGTATTTGTTTTAAATGTGCCAATATTGATCAGAGTGTCTGTTTTAACAAAAAATATTGATGTCGGAATTCCCTTCGTAACAGGTTGAAGAAGATGGCCTGTACTGACAAAAACCCGCAACGCAATTTCATACAATTCACAAAACTCCACCGAAAAGCGACGACTTTTGCTGCTGACGTGACAACTGCGTGCCCTTGGCAAAAAAAAAAACGAAAACTTTGAGATAAATGAATTTTCATCACGTGGCCAGACTCGGCACAGCTTCCATATCGCGCACCCGAAATGGAGAGTGCGACGTGATGCCTCCCCCACTCGTGTTGTTCCTGCCTTACTCACTGTGCGCGCTGTGGCACTGCTGCTGTACGTGATTAGAATGTTTAGTTGAAGAATTCCCCCGGATAGATGACAATTTTTTTTGGCATCGTACGTAAAAAACAAAAATCTGCAATAATCCGGAGAGTTGCGTCGTCGGCCCGAGTCAGCCCGTCGAGGTTTGGTGGCAACGCGAGCGACACTAACGGAAAAAGGTGTTGAGATAGCAACAACAAAAAACATGATAGGGACTCCCAGCATGCTTTGCATGTCAAGATGACATCTTGATGACAATGATGACGAAGATGCCTTGACATGAAACGCACGCTTGGGGTTCCTGCCTAAATACACACATGCGCATATATTATCAGAAATTTCAGCTTGCACGCATATGTATATATATATTCCCATCTGGCTGATGGCGTTTTCTCTGGCGCCCCGGGTAAGTCTTTAAATGTTCAGTCAACAGCAGCAGCAGAGACGATGGAAGTGGAGCCAGAACGATGCCTATTTTATTTCTCTCACCACTGCTCGTGCCATCGGGCGTGCATTGCAATGTCGCATTATGTAAGCCAGTCGATTGAGATCCGTAACACGAGGGGTGGAACGAATTCTGCTCTTCATATTTCGTGCGCGCTCTGTCGCTCTCTCGACAGAAGATGAGGCTTCATTATTTCACCGATGGCTACGGTCGTGATATGTACAGAATATTTAAATAGTGTACATAAATCAAAGCAGATGTATACCTTCGGTTTGTAGGATTACACACTTTTAATTGATAGTTTTAATTTTTTTGGACTTGTTTAAGAGTTAAAATTCCTACAGTGTTTGACACAACTTGCTGGGAGTATCTATATATATAATTTTTGGTGATTGGTATGCTTGTTCTTGATGCTTTGCGTTATATATTTTTTACTCGGTTTGAATTATTTCTCTATATGTACGGGGAGGGAAAAAAACAAGCTACGTTTGCACCTGCTCGTTAAGTTATGGTGATGGATCTGTACATAACTAAATACTGTATTAAAGTGTGGGGCCTTACACCGGATTTTGTCGAAAATCCTTTTGGCTCTTTTTCTCACTCTGTCGGTCCTCCTTTGCGCGCCGCAGCATTCCCTGTGAATAACAGCGCTCGCTGCGTTCAATGTTCTTTTTGCAAACCTTAACCTATTCCACGGGTCGCATTTATTCTCCCTTTCTCGCTGCCAGCGACACGATCGATCGTGATAATCTCCGCTCGGGCTTCGGGATCGCAGCTCTTGGCCTCGTAGCAGCGGCCTGGAGATTGGCATAAACATTTTTTTTTTAAAGCCAGCGTTGATTTATGCCGCTTCACGAACTGTCAAGGGTGCGAGCTCTCTGTAGATGAAATTTTACGGCGATATTCTCGCAATTAATAGATGAAGCGCTTAAAAGTCTTTGGGCTGATTGAGGCGGGTGTGCTCATGGCCGTATTGTCCACATTGACTTTGCTCCTACCCAGTAAATATCTTTGACAGCAATGCACGTTTAACTCACGTGCCGTGTTGTTTGGTCCCCGATTTATTGTTTGTAGCAGGGCTTAAGGTCAGCTGGGTCTGTCCGGGTCAGCGACTAGGATAAAAAAATATTTCCACACCCAGCAAACCTCATCCCGTAAACCTCTCGCTAAGGGCTGTGGCTCATGGGTTCCGCGCCTATTCCAGTCTACCAGTGGCTCGGAAAATATTTGGTGAGAAATTAAACCCTGGTTTGTAGTCTCTAGCCAACCTCGGCCCGTTGGCATAGTTACTCCGATGTTAATTCGAAACAGAGCATATATTTAAAAAAAATCATTGAAAATTGCCAAAAGGAAGAGGAAAACCAGAGAACACCATGCATACACAAGACAGCAAACACTCAGCTCTACACAGAACATTTCAGAAAATCCATTGTTGCGCTGCAATCTTCTGGCCACATCACAACCCAAGCCGACAGCACCTGGCAGTCTCCCAACGAGGTACTAACCAGAGTTTTACCCTGCTTCGCCACCGAGATCTGAAGAGATTGGGCGCATTCATGGAGAGATGGTTACGGTGCTACCAGCGGGTGGCCGCCGTGCGTGACAGGCCGCTGGGCCTTGGCTCAGCATCTGTGATCCTGAACCAAACGCGGGCAGTGGTTCTCAATCTTATATATATATGAAAGCGCCCCCCCCGCCCCCATCACGATAACTGGTCCTCATGCCCCCCCCCTTCCACCCACTCATGAACCCCCACACCCCCCACCGCCCCCTTCCCTAGCAACTAAAGCTGCATCACTCGAGATCAACTGCCCATGCCTCGAAGTCAACGCGGTGTTCGTGAGACATTTCGCGTCATGTTGTGTACGAGTGTGCCTTTTCGAGAGATCGTCCTGCACGGTATCCATGCCGCAGCCTTGCGCCCATCTGCCGCCCCTGAAAGGCGATCCATGGGTTGAGGACCCGCTGCCTTTGCGTCCTTAGCTCACAACGGTGTGATTAGGCCGTCGGTCGAGTGGACACACGGGGAGCGTGGCCGCATCATTAATCTGTGCATCAATATTCATTTGCCTGTCACCGCATAGCAGCTCTGCACCTGTGCAAGAGAGGCAGACGCCCCGAGTGTCGTGAGCCTGTTTATTTCACTTATGGACGCACGCTGGCATCATAAGAGCTTATTGAGGAGCAGCCTAATGTGTTATTCGCATTAGATATTCCGGCCAGAACTTAATTCACGGAAATCAACGTGAAATATAATTGCACAACGGGTCGTGTGTATGTCGTAGAGTGTTGAATGATGTAACATGAATCTGCACTCAATTTCCCAGCACGCATGAACAATTGCTTCTCTGTGTATATATGTTACACTCAAGTCGGTTAGTAACAGCTAAGTGCCCTGCTCTTATATGGTAGGCCGTTTTTTTTTTTTTGCCAAGGGAGACCAACATGTTTCGGGAAGCGCTGAATGCCTCGTGATGACAAATTAGTGTTTGGTGAGCATGAGCCTCGTGTTCGCTGCATGGTGTGGGGCTTACGTGGAGTCGTGACCCTTACCACTGATTCTCAATTAAACACGCGCGTGCGTGCGGCTCCCTTGGTCAAAAGCGTAGAGATGCTTTTATTTTGTTATGTAGGCTAGGCGTAGTCACAAACCGCACCTCTCCATAATAAAGGCTCAGTCATTTGTTATGTAGTCTATTCAGTCTCAAACCGCACCTTACCATAATAATGAAAAGTGAGCCGTTCCTGGCCCTACCCCCACCCCTCAACCATTATATATATACGGAGTGGTATCTCTTGTAATCTCTCATTTACTTGATACAGCTGTCGGGCTGTGACGGTTCCTCCTGAAGACGGAAGCTTGTGTTGCCTCCGAAACGTCGTGATTTTTATTTTTATTTTACTTTTATTAATTTTATTTTTTTTTACCTACGTGACTTTACCGAAAAAAACCTAAGAATATGAATACTTGCAGTCACGAAAGCTTCAAATCTATGCTTTTATTTTTTGGCTCTACTAGGGATTGGCAGTAAAAAATGTCACTAAAACTTGTATTGAAGAACAGAGTTTTACAGTTTTTTTTGCGACAAAATGTAACCGAGTCAATTATTGAGACTGGAGAGATTTTTTTTTTACATTTTCTCTCGCAATTGCTGCCTATATTTTGACACTCTATTCTCACTTGTGTAAATCTTGCCAAAAGATAAATGTATTCTCATAATTTGATTTCGGAAAGGGCACGGCTATCGTTCTCTCTCACACACTCCCCGCTTCGTAGCGATAATAAGTCCAGCTTCTCGTCAACCCACTGGCAGGTGAGGGTCTCCGCGCGTCACGTCGGGGGTTGTTTGACCATAATTCACCAAACCCGGTCAGAGTATGTGGCCTGCTGAAGGAGGGGGAGTCACATGACCGGTACCACTCTCACGCGGCACTGATGTTAGCCCTGGCAAAGGAACCAATGTAAGTGTAGGATACATTTAAGTGCAGTTACGGTACCGTAAAATAGCGACCCGCTGAGATGGGGGAATTTTTTTCATCCTTTGTGAAGCAGACTTTGAGGGAAGGCTTTGAAATGCAAATCGAAAAATTCAGGTGGAAATATATTGACATGAAAAAAAATCTAAAACGAGTTCAAGCATGGAGAGAGATAAAGAAAAAATCGAGATATACCCACCCACAATATCACCGTGAGAATTTCTCAACATAATTAAAACACATGCGAAATTCAAATAACACAAACCCAGCTTCATTTCTTGCATTTCCACCCGAGCCAATGTTTTCCCAAACAATAACAGCCACTGTAATAGAAAAAGCAATAACGCGTTTTCACCGGGACATGATCAACGGTGCAATGGGAACATCATCGATGACCGATCCATCACGTTTGACAGGCAGTCAATAGGCTCGCTGTCTCTTTTGCTTTCTTTGTGATGCTGAAGAAGTCCCAGTGCTCTCCAGCAAGCGTCTGCAACCCGTGCTCCAGCACGCTCAGATGTCAGTTTAACACGTAGACTTTCGCGAATAATATCCATAATAAAGGTTTTGTTTTAGGTTAGATCGCGTAAATATATAAGTCGTTAAACCCGCCACCACCAGACACAGCCAACTAGTAAGGGTTGTCACGTAAACAAAACATGCCAATTCGTTACTAGTACAGCACACCGGTGTGTTGGAGAGCCAAGCCACAACATTTACAATCTGAGTCCGACGTTTTGCCAGCAATTACAACTAGCTTCATCAGGCGACCGCCAGATTTGTGGAGAAGTCCATCTGTTTCGTTCCTTATATAGAGGCGTAGATCTCGAAGTAAAAAAAAACGTTCAGATGTGTCCACATCGTCCCAAGCCCTCACTGGAAGGTTTGAGACGAGGCATTTTTTTTCTCCTCTCACGAAGGTGCATGCAGATTAATGAAGATGCCCTACCTCCCAGAGACCACCCAATTCATCACGCGTGAACTCACAGAATTTAACTAACACAATGTACAGGGAGTCCGTAAATATATCAACCCATTATTAAAGAATTATAAATGATTAGACAGTAGTTTGAACTGTTAAGTTTGTTTTGATGATGCCAATATATTGCTCGTATGTAAGATGAATGTAAAATCTTGAATGACCTTCAAGAGTACATAACAGAAGCGTTGGGAAGCGAGATCATAGCTGCGATGTCGGTGAACATGTGGGATTCTCTCAATTATTGATACGATGTGTGTCGTCAACAGCATAGTGGCCTGTTTAACACGTCGGCTTTCACGACCAATATCATCCATAATAGAGGTGTTTTTAAGTTAGATCTCGTAAATATTTAAATGTGTCGTTAAAACCCGCCACCACCCGACACAGCCAACTAGTAAAGATTGTCACGTAAACAGAACGTGCCAATTCGTCACTAGTACAGCACTAGTGTGTAGTGTATAGTGTAGTGTGTAGTGTAGTGTATAGTGTAGTGTATAGTGTATAGTGTAGTGTATAGTGTAGTGTATAGTAATGTAGTGTATAGTAGTATAGTGTATAGTGTAGTGTATAGTAGTGTATAGTGTAGTGTATAGTAGTGTAGTGTATAGTAGTATAGTGTAGTGTATAGTGTAGTGTATAGTAGTGTATAGTGTAGTGTATAGTAGTGTAGTGTATAGTAGTATATTGTAGTGTATAGTGTAGTGTATAGTAGTGTATAGTGTAGTGTATAGTAGTGTAGTGTATAGTAGTATAGTGTAGTGCAGAGGTGGGACAAAGTCATTGTTATGCAAGTCCAAGTCGAGTCTGAAGTCATCAAATTCATGACTCGAGTCTGACTCGAGTCCAAGTCACATGACTCGAGTCCACATCTCAGAGGTGGGACAAAGTCATTGTTATGCAAGTCCAAGTCGAGTCTGAAGTCATCAAATTCATGACTCGAGTCTGACTCGAGTCCAAGTCACATGACTCGAGTCCACACCTCTGGTGTAGTGTATAGTGTAGTGTACTAGTACAGCACACCGGTGTGTTGGAGAGCCAAGCCACAACATTTACAATCTTGAGTACGACGTTTCCTCGTGGACGTTTAGGGTGCGATGACGC